AAAATGCTTTAAACAGTAGCACCTAATATGAATCGTAACCACCAAGTGAAATCAAAAGACAGAAGCAAGGAGGTTCGAAGATATATTTGATAGTCTATCAATATATCGAGGATCGTCTGATCTAACCTGGCTATCGATTGCAAGGGTTGTTGAGCACGGCGTTCCTACTCGTGATCTGGTGCGGATGCATGGCCGAGTGCCCTCAGCTAGGTGAGTCCATTAAAACTAATGTGGTTAGCATCCAATGTCGGAAACTTACAGAGCTATTTATTTTGGGGATTTATTTACCGCTGCATATACATACGGCTAGCCTTAGCCTAAGAAAGACTGAGTTGTTTGAAGAGTTCCGAAGAACCTGAGATGACTTGATTTTCGGAAAAGCAAATCTCCCTTATAGAGACAAACTGGTCAAACCAAACTTATTTTTCTTGTCGTATAAACACTAGAGGCGACTTAGACACAGCTTTAAAATTACTTAATGATAAGTCTTCATCGTACATACCCTCTCTAAAAACAGAGGATTCAAGAGGATATCCGGAAAATGTTCACAAGGCCAGAACAAATTACTTGCCAGCTTATTATCAACTTTCCCTGGGAGAGCTTCTTCTTTTCCGTCCAGAACCATTTGAATATTCAACCGAAACTCCATCTATCTCCTCATCCTAAATTTAGGATTTCTTAAGAAATCCGGATCACCTGGGAGGCCACCGAAGTCAGAAGTAAAACAGGCCACTCAGCTTCATGCTCTTTCCAAATTGAAGCAGAATTACTTGAAGTTCATCAAGTGAAATGCTTTTTTGAATCCGTCTATGTCCTCATGAACTCACTTTCAATATCAAGGTCACTGGTGTCAGCGTGACTTGGGGTGGGCTTCTTTGCACTGTTTTTTTTAAAACTTAATTCCAATGAAAATCGATTTAGCTGTAGACTAACATAATGAAAAGATTTTTAAAATTATTCCTGGTCGCATGTGCATACGTTAGCACATGCTTTTTTGACAAAATAGTAGCGAACGTGACCCCGAGCTCCCAATTTAGTGGGAATCGCACCTAAACCCCAAAGTCTATATATACTTGTAAGTGTCATGTTCGCAAAGTAAATTAGTTAACTTACTTTATCAGACTCTGTAACTAGACATTTTCATAGAATAGTCAGGTAACAGTTTTATCTGTCGCGCAAGGGTGTTTTTTGTAATAGCTCAAACCTGTTCCACAATGTCAGCTTCAGATTTCAAATAACTGCTACATGCTAAATCTTGACATACAGCTAAAATATGCTTTTTTAAAATTCCTGAAGACTCATGTAATTCATATTCGTATTAATTACCAAGTAGTCACTATCTATTCTTTCAAGATATCCAGATCAGTATATTTGGATGCTGACTACTTCGTTTTTCCCTGGACTTGTACATGATTTCCACTACCACATCCTATTACTGCAGGGCCATTGATCTCCCCAGATTTGAACCGTATGGTATCGAAATCAATTACCTGGTTATTATTTTTATTTGTATTATTTATTTGAACACATGAATATTGGTACAAGAGAGCGCCAATATATATGCGCCACACAAAACAATGAGAATTCGAAGAGAAATAGAAAAAAAAGCTAAGGTACAATCAGAAGAAATCTTTCAGGTAAGGGAGACACAACCACTTTTAATGAAGAAAGTAAAAGAAGGTTACAGCAGGATCGCCACTGGCTTCTATTTTGAGCCATATCTGATAACGTCTCTAGCCACTGTGTAGCACCATCTCTCAGACCCCAAACAGGGAGTCGTGAAGGACCAACAGAAGCCAGTCCTTTGCAGTTTTCTTTCATACCACGACACCATGTCATGCACTGACCACCTCTCCGCTTCTTCCAACCAATCAATTACCTGGTTAGTGAGTTGGTATGCTACTATGATCCCGCCCTAAGGATTTGTCTTCTCTCACGAGTTCTTGCAACTGGTTGCAGTGTTATTTCCCTGTTTTGTCAGTAACTTAATGAGAATATCTGTTATTGACATCCTGAATTATCTATTTATTCACTTAAGCGCATAAACAGCATAGAGGAGCACCAAATGTATATATGCGTCACACTAATTGGACGGGTGAAACAGGAAACTCCCTGGCTGTCCGAACCGAAGCAAAATATTAAATAACCACACATTTTTATATACCAATTGGCTATAGATAATATATTTAATTATGGGCATAGATTTGGTACATAGGGACACCAAATGAACGGTCCATACATATGCAGAGGTAATACAGTAAAAAAGGGAAAGCAACACTATTTAAACGAAAATATACGTGAACAAGAACAAAATGTGGTAGAGAGTATCATTCAGTTAACATTCTAGTTGAGAAAGTTCTTTCACTAAAAATCGTTCTTATGACGAATGTAAAAGGCAACTATAACGTGGTCTCCATCAACCTCTATTTTGAGCTGTTTGTAGCGTCGTTTCAAGTCGCACTATCTGTGGGGCCTCGACGGCAGTCGTAATTGACCGGCAAATGGCGGTCCCAACCACTTTCATACCACCGCGTCAGTTTATAAACAAACCACCTCTGTTTATTCCAACCCATCCGTGTCTACGTAAAATACATAGTGCGGGGGTTGTGATAGCACTCATGACGCACTTCTAGGCCACCAAAGTTGGTGTTTCAAGACAGCGATACCAGTCAAATTATATATATATATATATATATATATATATATCGTAGGGTACTGGTATTCTATCATAGGTGTCTACGAAGCATTCCTCGGGTGCTTTGAGACCACCATGTAAAAATGCCAGAATTAGGAATAGGATGGTAAATCACTTGACGAGGTAGTGAATTTTCATCAACTGAGATGGTTGTGGCATGTATTATGTATGCCCATCATCTACCGCCTGCCATGAAGGGCTATGATTTCTGGTGTAGGAGTAGGTTGGAAGGAAGCTAGAGGCAGTTATGCCGAAATACAGCATCAGTTCGTCACTGACAGTTGTACTTAACCTGGTTTGAGTCGGCGTAATTAATGGTTAGAGACTAAGTGACATGGCTCGAAATTCCCTATAGCCTTTTTCATTTCACGAATTTATATTTTCTTGGATCATATCTTCCATATCTAATCTTAGGTCGTCACTAATACTGTTGCTACCCCTACTTCTGGAATTTTGCCGGACAACATATCTGTGCTATTGGGGTATGGCAGCTTGAACCTATGTACATACGTACCAGGTTCTACGCTGTGACTGATCACTACCATGTACTTGAGGGCTATTTGCAGAGTGCCATCAGTGACACAGTAGAAAAGAAGTGATATTGGACAACCTTGCATAACCTCTCTACTGAACTGGAATAATGGATTGAGTTGGTTGCATACCCTCACACTGCTTGAAGTACCTGTATGTTAGGCCTTCAAGATGTTAACGAACAGTCCTACCCAACAAAACAAAGTAGGCCCTGTTATCAAAGAACACCAGTTGTTGCTCTCCAATAAATGTGGCGATGTTTTAATATTTAGAGAAGGGTGAAGTTATGGTCAAAACGCTAACTACATGAGCTAAAACTAGCCTGTTCCTCGCTAGCCGTTTCCTGAGTTTTAGATCTGTGGATTTTGGTGAACTATAGTAGTCTTGATGCAATCAACATTAGACATTCCGCGACAGCTGGTGCGTAGATAACGTAGGCTGCTCTTAAAGAGGGAAAGAACGATTGCTTCGTTCGATGTTGGAACACTATTTATCAAACCTTTCCAAATAACCCAGTCTGCTCTCTGACCAAAAGTTCTTCATCTTAATAAAGCCGAGTAGGAGTAGTTCATCGGGTTGTGATGATTTTTGATGCTTCAAAAGTCGGAGATTCTTATGGACCTCAGACTTATGGGAGCAGGAATAGCAGTAGCAGTACTCCCTCTACCTCTCAAGACGTCTCCGGATGTCACTAATTTGCATTTAGTTAGCTCCAAAATGCCCTGGTACGGTCAAGAGTGGGGAGAGTACGCTCTCCCTCTCGAAATACTCTCACATGGCCACGCGTATATAGCCTCTGCCAGGGAAGTCCTGCTCACTGCCTTCTCGTGGCGGGGGTGTTGTTTACGAAAATGAGACGACGAAAAGCGAATGTCCGGCGCTTTAACCGGATTCCAAACCAATGGTGCACATGGGCTCCAGTATCCTGCGGGAACAAATGACGTATGAACCAATTGTTGGTCACCGGCTTCCATGGGACTGCATCTCCTTACGATGCTCCACTGCCTTGTGGATCAGACCTTCAGGTCGAAGGCTCGGGGTGTGGCCCTCTAAGAAAACCACCTGCTTCGGTTTGGGCACCCGGGCAGTATCACAGCCCTCGCACATATGGAATGAGATTTGTGTAGCGCATATATATTTGGTGCCTCCTTGTACCAATGTTTATGTGTTAAAATAAATAATAAAATAAATTTAGTTAGCTTTACTGATTGTCACATTCACACCAAACGTTTTGCTGCCAATAGCTTAGATAAGCTGAAATGGCTTTTAGCAGTTGCCAAATGCTGTTGGTGTTTTCACCACCATAACATTTGTACCTTGTCTTATTTACTTTACTCTGTACCTTTTATCACATTTCATAAAATTGATTGTGAGATATTGCTAATAGTCAATAAGTTGTCTGATCTAAATTAACACTTACGTTGGGATTGTGCATATGTAACGAATTTATTGACATAATCTTATGCTCAGTTATCATTAGACTTTAATGTGTTATTTTACAATATAAGTTATTCAAATACCAATCAGATCTATTACCGATAGCTCCATTAATAGTTTCATATATGATACTAGTGTATGTAAGTTCATATTAAGTGAGTAAATAACTTATTTGTGGTTCTTATTACTTTCCTTACTCAATAACTTCGTACATATTACATTATCTCTGTAATTTCCCAGCTTTTCATTTGTTTCACATTAAAATTTCACTCAATTAAGATTCTACATGATAATAACATCCTATTGGTTTCATATTCAGTCTTAACGGATTCAATCAATGGAAGCACTACTTGCCTGTGTAGATATTCCTCCAGATTGTCATGACGCTATACCTCTCTTGAACTTGGAAAATAAATCTTTCTCCAAGTTTTTCAAGCGAATCTTAAAAAGGCTAGAAAAAGGAGAGACTTGTGTTCAAAAGGCGTTGCCTAAATTATCAGATGATGATACTGAAGAAGAATCAGAATACGTACTTATTGGGACCGCGCAAGAGGAAAATTCTAGAATATTATTCGCACGACTTCCAAACTCGTCAGGGAGTAATGAAGTATACAAACTTCCATTTGTTCGTTTCACCGTTCGTAGGACTAATGAGTGAGTTATTTTATGGTCTTAGCAACCTCTATTATACTAAGAATATTACTTCTTTACACCTGGTTGTGATAATTAGGACATCACTGTTTAGGACTGATCTTTATAATTTTCTACATTTATCTTTGGTTCTATAGCATCCTATCATAAACTGATCACCCACAGCTATCACCCCTATTGTTGGCAAATTATCCATTATATTGATGGAGTTTTGTTCTCTGAGCTGGATGGTTTGGTCGTGTAAAGATCAACACACAATTCATCAATCCACTGAGCTGACTTAGTTATTAACTTCCACAAAGGATATGGAATTAAAATTGATAAAAATATCGAGCTAACTGGTCAGATGGCACGAGTTTTAATATACCTTACGTGATGAATTTTGAGATGGTGGAGAAAATTTGTAGCTCAGGTGGATGATTTTGATGGAGTTTTGTTCTCTGAGCTGGATGGTTTGGTCGTGGAGCTTTCATCGTTCTTCTGAACGACATCATCAGCACAAACTTCAGATAGAAGTGAAGTGTTCGAATTTCTCCATATGTGTTTCACAGCTTGTTCTGTGCACCTCGATGTTGATTGGTTCTTGTTGACCTTAAATTTATCATTGTTTACTTCTTTGTTTTGGTTGTGTCTCCCATTGGTTTGATTTTTGTTCTCATATTTATGCATGGTTTTCCTGATTGGTTGATAAATTGGATTGATTTCAATATGTTTGTTGATTGCTGATTGACCTGAGTGCCAGGCTTCTAGAAATTCTCTGGTGTTTTTGGAGTTTCCTCTGTCTAAGATTTCTACATTTTCCCAATCGAATGAGTGTCCGTAGTTATCCACGTGTATTGAAATAAGTGAAGAAATATCATGGCGTTTGACTGCTAATTGATGTTCATGTAGGCGTAGGTGGAGGGGACGTCCGCTTTGTCCGATGTAGTGTTTGTCGCAGTTGGTACAGTTTATTTTGTAGATAATGTTTGATTTGTTCTCCTTTGTTATTTCATCTTTTGGTTTGCATAAGATTGATTGTAGTGATTTTGTTGGTTTGTGTGCCACACCTATCCCGAAGGTTTTCAGCAGTCTCGTTGCAGTTTCTGATATTCCTTGTATGTACGGTAGGGTGATCCTTTTACTGATTTTTGTGCCTGACTTGGGTTGTGATGCTGTGTGCCGTTGGTGCTTTTTGATAAAGTTGATTGGGTAGCCGTTCTTTTGAAATATGTCCTTCAGGTATTTCTCTTCATTTCTTCGTGCTGCCAGTGTGCTGCAGTGTGTCCTCGCCCTCTTGAACAATGTGTGTACGCAGTTGATTTTGTGAGCCCTTGGGTTGTTGCTGTTGTAGTTGAGAATTTGATCTGTATGGGTTGGTTTCCTATATACTTGAGTTTCCAGTTTTCCTGTATCAGTTCTAGTGATCAATATATCCAAAAATGCTAGTTGGTTGTTTGACTCCTGTTCCATTGTGAACTTGATGTCATTGAAAACGTTGTTGATCAGTTTGTATGTGTTTTCCAGTTCATCCTTTTTGACGATGACGAAGGTGTCGTCTACGTAGCGAATCCAAATTTTTGGCTTGATCACTGGTAATATCGTGGCTTCTAGTCTTTGCATCACTGCTTCTGCGATCAGTCCTGATATTGGTGATCCCATTGGTGTCCCGACCAAACCATCCAGCTCAGAGAACAAAACTCCATCAAAATCATCCACCTGAGCTACAAATTTTCTCCACCATCTCAATATCCATTATATGAAAATCACTTAACGTAATCAAACCACTAAAGTCGATATTCAAAGATAACATTCCTAGATTAACTAGTTTCAAAGTGTCGAACCTCTAAATTACGTACATAATTTTACTACCAGTTATAAACGGTCCTTACAAAGTGTTTTAACTTTGTTACCGCTCATACATCAACCAAAACAGATGGTTTTATACACGAACCCCTTTCTCTTGTTCACTACACTTTGTCAAACAGGAGGATCAAATTTAATCTAACTTACTAATTCAACAGCATAACCTGAGATTATGTTGTTTACGCTCTGAAGTTTTTACCAGGGAATCGAATACCAGTTCATTGCTAAGCTTTCATAATCCGATAAATACTCTCACATGGCTACGTGCATGCAACCACGGCAAGGGAAGTCATATTCACACCACGGGTGTTGTTTACAATATTGAGAGGACGAAAAGAGAATGTCTGACGCTTTAACTGGGTTGGTGGACATAGTAAGTCCACATAGGGCAGTTGGGAAACCCTGATTGCAAACCAATGGTGCACATGGGCTCCAGTATCCTGAAGGAACAAATGGCGTCTAAACCTGCTGTTGGTCACCGGCTACCATGGAACTGCATCTCCTGACGTCGCTCCACTGCCTATTGGATCAGAACTTTAGCTCGAAAGCTCCGAGTGTGGCCCCCCAAGGAAACCACGTGCATCGGTTTGGGCACCCAGGCAGTATCCCAACTCTCACATACATCGAATGATTTATGTGGCGCATATCTATTTGGTGCCTCCTTGTACCAATGTTTATGTGTTTAAATAAATAAATAAACTGAATCTCCTTGCAAATGTCTTCTATCTAGTGTGCAGCTAAATTTCTCATCTCTGTATTTTTAAACATTATACTTAATCACTGCATTTCTTAGTAATTTTTGTTAGAATTGACCACTCTCTATGAAGAATATAGATTGTGGTTAGCAGTGAGAATCTAGGATATGTTTCCCATTCTGTTTGTAACTCGTCATTCGAATGTACATATATTCCAGTATTGATGTTCATACCCAATCTCGAACCCAACACCTTTCTCTATTAACGCCAAACTGGCTATTGACTGAGTTACTGAATCCTAGATAATTACACACTTGTGATTAGTTTAGTTTTTACATTTTCCATTGTCATTTTAGTAAACTTGTATCTATTAGATAAAAGTCTTTCTTTCTGTAGGAAAAAAAGAGTTTCCACTGTACACTCGTTTTAATTTCATTTACTTACCATTGATTTACATCTCCTTACGTTAGTTGATTATTCTTAATTTATAGACCTATAACAAAACAGAACCAGGATGCCGCAAATAACAGTAAGTTACCGTTTTACTTTTGATGAGGTAATTAGTTCACATTGATTAGTCATTTAGTGATGATCGAAATGATGTTTATCTAATTCTTTTTAGTACTGATTAAACTCTATCGATAAAGTCTCAATATAGCCATTAGTCTTAGTAACTAACTCAACTCTTGACGACACTGTTTTAATGTTCGTTGGTTTCATGCTTTGTGACACTCGTTGGCAAAGTGTACTGGGAAGGTTTATGGAACTAACGTTTCATGTGATATCCAAACTTAGGTCACTCTGTAGTTAACAAGAACACGAGTGGGGACAATCGAATGTATCTGAATCTCTCAGTAAAATCTGAGAATCATACAGTAAATACCTAATTTGCAAAATATTAATTAATTGCCTCAAGCTTGGCTATTTCTTTTGCAAATACCAGTCCATCGTCTCAGATTTCATTGTCCCTGCATTTTCATACCAATTGCTTTCCGTTCACGTTCTTTCCTTCTCGATCTTCTACTGAAATAATTTTATTCGTGACTATCGTCATATACTACTTATATGTATATAAGTAGCACACACAATTTAGCCTCAGTCTGATGTGTTTCCATTTGAGCTATTCGGGTTTATTAGTGACTACCTCCAGCCATTTAGGTAATTAGTTTGTCGGTGTCATTTCTAGTTGCTCTAGTTTGTTATATACGGGGAGGGATGAGATAATGATTGAAGTTAAGAAAAATCTTCTTGATCATTGTCATTTTCAGTATCGTCTCCTGAACAACTAGCTCAATAATGAGTTTATTTCCATCAGTTGAACGATCCTAAGACATCTATCATTAAGATCGTATCGAGAATACTGAAGACGATAAAGTTATACAATATATGCCGTTTCTCAATAGTTGTGTTAAATGTATATATTTTGGGGAGTAGTTATTTTTTGTGAAATATTAGACTAGAGCTTACAACGTAGATAAGGTACTGAGTAGAATAAACTGTCGAATATATGTAAAGAATTCAGTGATGTATCAGTGGTTAAATCACTGAAGTATCAACCACCAAGCCACAAGCTCAAACACTGCTTTACCTACCTTGGTTTCTGATGTGTGAGCAAGGAAAATAATGATTGGTTGTTTGCTTAATCATAGTAGTAGTAGTAGTCTGACAAGTACTAAATGAATTATATATTTTCCTGCTCTTATTATTACTATAATTGTTGTCAGTTTTTGATGTAGAAATATACTTACGTTCTAGTCAGTCTAGCCACGTCTTCTGTCGAAGTCCTGTAGAATAGATAGTGAGCGGGGTATCTCTTTAGTAGAAACTTTGTACACATTACCAATCAATGTTGAACCCTAATGAAAATGTACATCACCAGTCAAGTTGACGCATTGTGTTCGTAGATCTATGTAAAATTAACAAGGTGAATATATATAGTTAGAAAACAATGAAAAATAAATAAAAACTATAGAATAACTATTGAGGTCTCTGTATCACTATGACTGGTTTTGATTCAATGTCATCTATATAAGAAGCATTAAATTAATCGATCTCAAACGTTGATGATATTATACTTTTTTAATTATTTCAACAATATAGGCATTGAACCTTATCTACAGGATACGTTTAAACGTCTTGATGATAAAATGGAAAATTTTGGAGCACAATTGTCTAAATTGATAGAATCTTTATCACAGAAACCAGCGCCTCGACCTCCAAGGAAATCGCAAACACCCGCAGTAACTGCTAGTGCATCAAAGCCAAACTTAACATCAAAACCTATATTAACTTCACAACTTTCACCTACTTCCACTTCTAAATCAACACCAGCATCTATAATGAAACCTGGATCTATACCAAAAAATGCATCCACTCCAAAGTCGATGATCATAAATCAAGCAAACTCTATTGTTTCATCCACTGAAAATAAACTCAAATCAACTCCGATTAAATCATTATCATATGGTCATGTTTTAGAAAGCCAACATTTAAATGAAAGTGGCACTAAAAAGAAACAAAATGAATCATCGACACAAGGTAAGCGTTTGATCGTTTTCATAATGTTGGTTACTATGAATTATTTGTAGTGAATATTAATTTGATCACGCACGAAAACTAGTTGAAAAAGGATTTCCTTTCAACTACCAGCTTACATCTCAATTGAATTGCACGCGATATTGAATCATTTAGATTAGTTGTCACATTTCAACTTGATTGATGAAATTCTATCAACACTAAAAAGGATTTAATATACATGACATTAGTCACGATTTATCTATTTTAAAACATAAACATTGGTACACGGAGGCACCAAATAGATATGCGCCGCATAAATCATTCGATTTGTGTGAGGGCTGGGATACTGCTCGGGTGCCCAGATGGAAGCAGGTGGTTTTATTAGGGGGCCCGAACCTTTGACTTAAGGGAGATGAAGTTCCATGGTGGCTGGTAACTAACAATTGGTTCATACACCATTTGTTTCCTTGGGATCCTGGAGCCAATGTACACCATTGGTTTGGACTCAGGGTTTTCCAACTGCCCTAGGTGGATTCTTCGTGTTCACCAAGCCCGGTTAAAGCGCCGGACATTCGCTTTTCGTCCTCTCATTTTCGTAAACAACACCCGTGGTGTGAGAAGGCAATGAGTATGACTTCTCTGTCAGTGATTGAATGCACGTGACCATGCGAGAGCATTTGGAGAGAGAGAGAGAGAGCTGACTCTTTTCATTCTCGGCCATAACAGGGCATTTGGGGGCTACTCTGTGAATTCTATATGCACGTTCAAAACTGTTGATTATTATTTGTCTTTATCTGATAATTTAGTCTTAGTATAAAACTCTTCAGTACAGTGCTCAACTATAACTTTGCCACAGACAGATCAAACCTAGAATTTGTGTCACAGTAAACACGCTACTTTAAGTGATCAGTACAATTTCACTTATTGCATTCTGCTTTTATTCTGAACATTCACTCTCTAACCGATCTGCCTAGCACTGTTGGACCTAGAAGAATGAGTATTCCAACCAGTATTAATCGACTAAGTCATTGTGATGTGCAAGCTCAACCACTACGTCAAAGTAGCAGCTGCAGTCGGGTACAAGTCTTGACATTTCACGGCAGTCATCCACTAATCATCATTGATGATAACTATTTCACTCTCTCGACTTAGTTGAACTTTTTGCAAAAAATTCTTCTTGAAGTTATTTACTAGCTAAAATCAGTCTGTAATGTAGATTATCTGATAATTGACTAAACCGTCACTGGTTTCCATTCTGAGCTATGTCTGATAACGTCTCAAGCCACGGAATTACACTATCCCTTGGACTCCAATCTTTGAGTTTCGATTGGCTGACAGATGACAGTCTTATGCAGCTTTTTTTATACCTCGGCACCATGTCATAAACTGGTGACCATTTCTGATTTTCCCAACCAGTGTCAGCGTCGGCAAATAAAGCAAAATGTGGAAGTCGCTAAGATGATGTTCATAGTACATATCCAACCTATTGAAGTCGGTGTTTGAAAATAGTGATCCTAATTGAATTATTGTCACTGTACTCATGCTTCATCGCTATAATCCTTTATATTACCACTAAAATGTTATCTAAATAACAGTAATTTGTTTCTATCCAATATTTTAGGTCATAGTCAAATTGAAAATCCAAGATTCGCTTCAATGATTGATAAAGCTATTGATCATGTTTTAGACCGTATTAATAAAGGGAAAGATATTAAAATTGGACCGGTATTCCAAGAGAGATTAAGTTCTGCCAATAGATGCAATAATACACTTGATCATATCGATCTGTCGTCTAATCGTGTTGACATTGATGATGACGATGATAACAACAACGATGCCAATATCACTGCTTATAACCATGTTGTATATGATAGAAATCAACATAATCTTAATATTAAACCTAAAAAGAATTTAGTTGCCATTTCACCATGTGTATCATTTATGGTGAAACCAGTTCAGAGTAGTGCTAGTAACAACATCAAACTGAATAATAATAATAATAATACTAATAATAAAAAGCATCAATTATCTACTGAAGATTATGAAGAATTAGAATCTTTTTTACAAAACGATTCTGTTGTAAATCATATTCATTATTCAACTGATTATGTTGTTGTTGATGATAATGACCGAAAACATAAACACAAAAAACGGAAATGTACAAATGATGATTAGATAATAAAACAATGGAATGACACTACCTGTACATATGTTCATGTGTGTGTGTGTGTTTGTTTGTGCTTGTGTCCAACTTCACTTTTGTACATAGTTACAAGTACTATATATATATTAGGTCGGTTTTTTTGTTTCGTTATACCACGTGATATCTGTCTGTACTTTACCTGTTGACTGGTCCATTTATCACATGTATTACATAAGTGCTTCATTGTTTCATTTATATAACCTTTTGTTTTGATATAGTAACAAGGCAATAAGATCTAATTTATATAAATACACAATCTATTAACCAGAGAGTTTTCAATTTTCCTTTCAAGACTTATATGCTGCATTTTTTTCCCGAGATTGTATTCATTATCAATTGAACAATCTACCTAATTCCTAAAGTTATAATGAAAAATTGTAATCTTTGGATTAGGTCCATGTCTGATGTGATAAAGGTATTCTTAATGGCATGAATTGATTGGAGCTAAAATCGTGCTACCATTGGACACTGATTGAGTGGTCCTGACGGTTAAGCATCCATCTTGGGTCCGACCTGCGATGGGGTTATGAGCATGTATTTCGAAAGGAAGTCTCGTACCAGGGTATAACAGCTATCTAGCGCTTCCTAATTCTTAATAGTATCACAACTAAGGTCAATTTGTAAGTGGTACAACCTAAAAATTAGTGCTATCCACTTCAAACCCTTCAATATTCTTATAATTTCGGTTCCCTGAATAAAAAGATGAATTCCACAACATGCAGTCTTGTCCAAGATTTACACATAACTGACAATATAACAAATAAGAATGACACGAGAATAAACGATCGCAATAAGTATTAAATCAAATATACTATGAGAATGAAGCGGTCACGATTGAAAAGTTTAAAAACACTGAATATTATCAGAGGATGCTGTCTAGTCCATTTTATAATCGTTAGTTCTAAAATTATTGACATGCATTTCACCACAACTAGAAATAACTACGGAAAGATTCTAATGCGGTAGCTATTTAAATGACAAGTTTTATTATCCGAGCAAAAATGTTCATCATTTCATTGGATTCATTTACCAAGCTCTCTCATTTCAATAACTCTCTAATTGTTTTCATTTATATATATAGTAATAAGTAGTGTGTAACAGTCTTTATCCCTGTTACTAATTAGTATGCAAATGCTTTTGCCTTGTAACGTTGATGGAAGCTATCTATCAAGATTCGAATAAAACAGTACTAATCTTTGGCAGTAAAACCTGCTGTGTTCATTAGTTTTTACAACTAGTCATTAATCTTGGGTGCTATTAGAGGTATGAGGGCGGGTATCGCTTCCCGGTTGCCCACACCGTGGAAAGGTACTTCTGGAGGCACCTGAAAAGGAAGTTTCGTTAGGAGTGGTCTTAGTGACCTGGGAGCGTGACCACAATGCCCAAGGGGCAACTACTTGAGGTCGGTCACACATGAATCGCCGGAGAGGGATATCCGTGGGATAAGGAGAGGTGTGCATTTTTGGGGCAGACCTTTTCTAACCACAACCCTCCTTGTGGGAAGACAGCATCGCTATTATGCTGGTTGTCTGTAGGAAACACCTTACTGCCGTCACACCTCTGTACAGTCAGCAGTACGACTTCGCCTTTGGACCTTGGGTTTGTTGCTTTTAGTCTTACCGTTCTTCAACCGACCATGCCTAACTGGCATGGTAGGACCTTGAAGATCGATTGGTTCATCACGATAGACAAGCTCGACCACCACGTCAAGGTAGCAGCAACGGTCGGGATTAGTTTTTTACAGCTATGAATGGAGAGGGGCTTCCTTGTATTCGTTTGTTATGGTGCATTAAGTTGGTCGTATTAAGATTAATATGTTCAAGTAGAGAGGATTGTAATTCCATGTCTAAACATTTGTAAGTATATCTTGGTTTCTGAATACTGAACTTTTTTTTTCTAAATTAAACTAGAAAGTGTACCAACGTCATGGAATGAGTCGATAGTTGTCCCTATCTTTAAAAAGGGTTCACGTCGTTCCTGTAACAACTATCGGGGGATAAGTCTACTTCCGATTGCGTCCAAGCTATTGGCTTCCGTCATACTTCGTAGGTTGTTCAAAACCCGAGAAAGATTGACTCGCGAGGAGCAGGCTGGGTTTCGTTCTGGTCGAGGATGTATTGATCATATCTTCACCCTCCGCCAAATGTTAGAACACCGCCATACTTATCAAAGGCCAACAATCGTAGTGTTTTTTGACATCAGGGCTGCCTTCGATTCGTTGGACAGGACTGTTCTCTGGGATTGTCTATTGAAGAAGGGTGTGCCTGAGAAGTTTATTAACATCCTAAAAGCCCTATATAAAAACACCTCAGGCAGAGTGAGGGCATACAACCACCTCTCTCCATTGTTCCATTCGAGCAGTGGGGTTAGGCAGGGTTGCCCAATCTCACCATTCCTCTTCAACTTTGCCATCGATGACATTCTGGAAACAGCTCTGATGAATGTAAGTAATGGTGGTGTGGATCTGTTGCCTGGAGAAAGACTTCTCGACCTTGAGTATGCGGACGATATTGTCTTACTGTGCGATAATGCCCAAGGCATGCAATCCGCACTTAATCAGTTGGCAATCAGTGTCCGTAGGTATGGTATGTGCTTTGCACCTTCGAAGTGCAAAGTACTTCTACAAGACTGGCAGGATTCCAATCCTGTACTCACCCTGGATGGTGAGCAGATAGACGTAGTCGAGAAGTTCGTGTATCTGGGTAGCTGCATAAGTGCTGGTGGGGGTGTGAGTGATGAGATCAATGCACGTATAGTGAAAGCCAGAGCGGCTTATGCCAATCTGGGCCATCTTTGGCGCCTTCGTGATGTTAGTCTGGCTGTAAAAGGTCGGATCTACAACGCGTCGGTGAGAGCAGTTTTGCTCTATGCTTGTGAAACCTGGCCTCTCCGAGTTGAGGACGTTAGACGACTCTCTGTGTTCGATCATCGCTGTCTCCGAAGGATTGCTGACATTCAGTGGCAACACCATGTCAGTAATGCAGAGGTTCGGCATCGTGTGTTCGGGCACAGAGATGATAATTCAATTGGTGTCACCATCTTGAAACACCGACTTCGGTGGCTTGGACATGTTCTCCGAATGTCGTCCCAGAGAATTCCACGTCGTGCATTATTTGCCGACTCTGGGACTGGTTGGAAGAAGCGGAGAGGTGGTCAATGCATGACATGGTGTCGTGGTATGAAAGAAAGCTGCAAAGGACTGGCTTCTGTCGGTCCTTCACGACTCCCTGGTTGGGGTCTGAGAGATGGTGCTACACAGTGGCTAGAGACGTTATCAGATATGGCTCAGAATAGAAGCCAGTGGCGATCCTGCTGTAACCTTCTTTTACTTTCTTCATTAAAAGTGGTTGTGTCTCCCTTACCTGAAAGATTTCTTCTGACTGTACCTTTCCGTTCCCTCGTTACTACCACACTACCTTACACCAATCTCTTCGTTATTGTTCTCTTTTTCTTTTGCGCTCCTTAGTTTTTTTTTCTATTTCTCTTCGAATTCTCATTGTTTTGTGTGGCGCATATATATTGGCGCTCTCTTGTACCAATATTTGTGTGTTCAAATAAATTAATTAATTAAACTGTCAACTAAGCCTATTTGATGGGTATATGACGAAGTCTTACGTTAGTCCACTGCCTTATGGATCAGACCTTTAGGTTGAAGGCTCAGGGTGTGGCCCGCTAAGAAAACCACCTGTTTCGGTTTGGGAACCCAGACAGTATCATAGCCCACACACAAATCAAGTGACTTGTGTGGTGCATATGTATTCGATGCCCCTTTGTACCAATATTTATGTGTTCAAAGCTTATTTGATAGGAGAATTAATAAAATTCCTTAAATATTCATGAATATAAGATTGGGTTGTTTTCTTAAAAAAGCAATGACATGATTGTAAAGTGTTGCTCAGCTTTAATGGTTAGGGATATTACCTTAACCCAAATAGAAAACACCATGTAATAATCACACATTTATCTTGACTATTGATAATAATGTATAAGTTATGTGTGATGGAAATGCGTAAGTAGAATGTTCAAGTCCAGGCGAAAGTTAAGGAAGAAGTAAGAACACATGATGCGCTGATTATATCAGATCCAGTTGTATGTACTGGAAGAATAGAGCAGTCGCTTTTTCCCCACGTATCACTATTCGTCTGAATATGTTATCAACTCACTACTAATAAGTAGGAACTATCATTAGGCCGAATATTTGAAAATACTGTATTAGGATCATGCAAGTGAAATTGTTTATTGTTTAGGCAACTCGACATTCGGCTAATGAATGTGAAGATTAACATCCGACATGAATCGTCCAACTATAACAAGTGGGACAGTTTATCCGATGACTCTGCCTACAAATACGTCTATCTTGATATTCGAATAACCTATGATGACTTTTTGGAGCTTAGAGTGATTGATTAAGACCCTTTGAAATGCCACTCATAAGGAGTGAAGCGTTCAACTGTCGCTGGATACTCGAATCTCATATTATAAGCCAACGTCAATTCCCTTGCAATTTCAGATGCTTCTAGCTGGTTGATATCATTTAGCGCAAAATCTATAATCAAGCAGGGATACCTACTAACTGGAAATGACTAACCTTATATACTAACATTCAGTGACCACTAGATGGGGAATATTGCGATTTTACCTAAACAGTTCTCAAGTAATCACTAAACACTCAAACGCCACGCCCTAAACCAGATTAACGCCTTGCATTTAGACATAAACGAGATAAAGATGGACGTTTTTCGCAAAAAGTATGCAGTAGATGACTTAACTGATGATTTGAAAATACCTTTTATGGACTATGTTACGAATTTTATAGATCAGAGATCAAGGAAGAAACTCATCCAGTTACGGAAAGGACTGGAAAATCAAAACAGCCGAAAGGAAATTTTCAACCGACTCTAAAAGGTATGTACATAATTTCTCAAGTGTCGAACTAGATACAAAAAAAAACTAGAGGTATTATCCCCAGGTCTAAAATTTTGTGATACACGTAATAACTGTAACCACATCGATACAGACATACAATTCGAGAATCTTTATAGTCAGACACGTGATTTAGTTATGAAGTCTGATCAGCAATTAGAACATTTTAAATCAACACTTGTAGAGTAGTATTACCAATATAAGAACAATAAATTCAGTTACAAAAGCATTCTTACAAAGAAGCACAAAGAAGCTATTAACCTACTTCTCAAGGAGGAGACGTTATTGATTACAAAACCTGACAAAGGTTCAGGTGTTGTTCTTCTTTATAAAAGTGATTACATTGAAAAAATGAGTACAATCTTAAATGACAAATTAAAGTTTCAAAAAATAACTGACCAGAAAGATTTGAATAATAAGATAGAGCTTACCAGATCTTTGAAGAAAGTCAGGGACCAACAGACTATCTCATCGGGTTTATATGAAATGATTAAACCAGTGGGAACCTATCTGCCGAGATCGTATGGATTGTCAAAGGTACACAAACCGGGGATCCCATTAAGACCTATTTTAGATATGTATAACTCTCCTTACCATACTATAGCTAAATGGTTGGTAACTGTATTAAAACCTCTACACGAAAAGCTTGTAAAATATAGTGTTAAGGATGTGTTCCAATTTGTTGATAAAATCAAGAATGCAAATACGTTGGGACTAAAGATTACTCAAAACTTCATATTTTACTGTAGATACATGGGTGACACGTTCATCCTCTGTAAAGATAATACGTCGCCGCAAGAGGTTCTTAAGCGATTTAATAAAGTGCATCCAGCCATTCAGTTTACATCTGAAGAAGAGAGTGATGGCCGAATAGCCTTTTTGGACGTTCTCTTGATTAAGAGAGCGGATGGATCGTTAAAAAGGAACTTAAACAGAAAATGTACATGGATTGGGCAGTATACGAATTTCCTGAGCTTTGTACCTCTACAGTACAAACGAAACTTCGTCAAAAACCTTAGTTACCGTATTCGCACTATATGTTCTGCTGACATGGTTGATCAAGAGCTTAACACCTTGCATACTACTCTCAGGGAGAACGGCTACCCTAGGAAGTTTATAATTAAATATATGGTCACGAAGGCGAAATACAAACAGTGAAGAAATTCCTGTTCATGCGTCTACAATTCAGAGGGGATGCGGCTAGTGAAATACTAACTCAGAGATTACGTAGGACAATACAAAAGTCTTTTAACGCCGGAGAACTGCGATTAGTATTTCCTACGCGCCCAATGGTTACACCGAGGCTAAAAGATGAATTACCTAGAATGACCACCTCATTTTGTATTTATCAGTTCGACTGCTCCTGTGGAGTGAGTTATATCGGTCGAAGTTCTAAGAATTTACATTTTCGTGCTCGTGAACACCTTCCAGCGTGGCTAAACAGAGGTTTGATGAAGGAAGTGAACAGCTCAATATTGGCCCATTTAGTACAAACCGGTCATAGTGCCAGTATAAACCAATCTTCTTCAGTTATTTATAAGGTAAGTAATTTTTTGCCAAAACTGGTCAGACTGAAAGTCCTTCAAACCGGTGAAGCAGTAGCCATCCGAATGAAGAAACCGGAGCTATGCGTACAGAAGAAATATATTCAACCACTCCTCCTCCCCTGGCCAACATCAAGGCCAATTAATCAATTGTAATCCTAACTATTGAATGACCCACTTTGACTATGACCTTTCGTAGTCAATTGTAATTGTCCCTGTTATCTTTATTCATAAATCTTTGTATTATTATTATTATCAGAAGGGGTTTGTGGAGATTTTTAGAAATTTTCACAGATTGAAATCATGAGTCAGTTGAAGCTAGACCACCATTGAAAACCTGGAAGCACTGGACGGCCGTTTCGTCCTAGTATGGGACTCCTCAGCAGTGCGCATCCACGATCCCGCACCACGCGGGGCTCGAACCCAGGACCTACTGGCTTCGCGCGCGAGCACTTAACCATTAGACCACTGAGCCGGCATCCAACGGTGAGGAGTCCCATACTAGGACGAAACGGCCGTCCAGTGCTTCCAGGCTTTCAATGGTGGTCTAGCTTCAACTGACTCATGATTTCAATCTGTGAAAATATTATTATTATTATCATTATTCGTATTATTGGTTAAACATCATTATTAATGTCTCCTATACATGATTCATTCACTTCGCATTCATCCCTCCGTATTACGTCTTACTTATTTGATCGAATTGTAATTGCACTATTATTTCTCTCTCACTCTATTTGCCCATTTTATTCTGATCATGGATCTTAAAAACTCTCACTTAACATATACGCAGATTCAAGTTAACATTCTGATATGAGTCATATTAACATTAACAATTTTTTTTGTAAGCAATGATGAATAGTGGCTAGCAGTGGAATCCAGTTTGACGCGCGTTTCGCCCTATTTGGGACTCATCAGCTGGATGTACCTTGTTTATCACAATCCTAAATTCACATGCTTTGAACGATGTACTTTGCCCTTAACCTGGCGATTTTTCGGATTATTAATTTGGATATACTGAATTGTAGAACCTGAAGAGAATTTATCGAAAAGAATATTCTTCGTTCAAATACTAATGTTTTAATCACTAAGTGTTGAACATAGTCGACTAATTTTTCAATAACGACCAACCATTAATGATATGTCGGAATTAAAAGCTACATGATGAACAAACTGACAAATGAAAACATCCATCAATGAAGATTTAACCTCCAATGATGTATAGAATCGTAATCTTCGTGGTCTAAGTTCAGCGGAACTGTAGAACGTTGAACTAGTTAACAAGATAAATCAAAATAGATACCAGTTGTCAAAATACCGTCAAAAAGTTGTAGATACATATTGGGGGTCTGCGCGATCAGTGATTACAGACAAACAATAATACTATTCACACACAATCAGCCGAAATGGCGTAGATGCATTTAACTTCTATCTTCCTCCCGATTTTGAATCCCAGTATCCCATTTTCACTCTGTTCTTGTATTCTTAGTGTACAGATTTTCGCATTACCATTGATAATATGATTATATCGATTCGTTTACCATCCATCTTATGATAACGAATTGAGCTAATGTTCTACCTTGATTTATTACTAACTTAGAAACTATCATTGTTAATTTCCTTTCATCATTCATAAACGAATTGCTCCTTCCCACGTGTATACAGCCTCTGCCAGGGAAGTCCTACTCATTGCCTCCTCGTGACGGGGGTGTTGTTCACGAAAATGAGAGGAAGAAAAGCGAATGTCCGGCACTTTAACCGGATTCCAAATCAATGGTGCACATGGGCTCCAGTATCCTGAGGGAACAAATGGCGTATGAACCAATCGTTGGTCACCAGCTACCATGGAAATGCATCTCCTTACGATGCTCCACTGCCTTGTGGATCAGACCTTTAGGGTGTGACCCCCTAAGAAAACCACCTGCTTCGGTTTGGGCACCCGGGCATTATCACAGCCCACACACACAAATATGGTGTGGCGCATATATATTTGGTGCCCTCTTGTACCAATACTTATGTGTTGAAATAAATAAATAAATAACCCTGTAAAAACATCATTATAATTCACAGGTTACAACATTCGACATACTATTTTTGTGTATCAGCCAATTTTTTAGTCAAAACATAATGAAGAAAAGAAGAGAAAAAAAAGAGGAACGAGATCAATAAAAAGAAAATAAACAAACAAACAAATAAAGGAGAACGGAATACATTGCAATTGATTGATGAATGAACTAATTAGAAATTAGACTTGACCATTGAAAAGATGAATCACAGTATGATTCTCTTTAAAATAAACTCCATCATCTATGATCCAATTGATATACACATATAGACTTTATTTATTGAATAGAATTGATGAAGTATAATATCACCAAGTGAATTTCACATTTACGGTGATGGTGGTGGTAGTAGTAATAATGATGTTTATGTATAGACATGGTGACAAGTTTTATTGGATTCAATTATTGCATAAAAAAATTTGTTTATTAATTCATTGTAATAAGATGATTTTTCATTGCGTAATACTGATTGACACGAGAGATACCATATCTATAAATAAATAGGAGAGAGAGAGATAGATAGAGGGGTATAGAGATGGAGATAAAACGAATCATTATAAACAATGACCGTTTTTCATTGACATCCTCATCATCATCATCGTCATTAATTACAGATTAGTTTGTTAGTAAACTATAAACAATGTGACATAAACATCAGTTACTGCACTATTACGACATACAATACTGTTATGACTTGATGTCCGGCTTTTTTTATCACGTGATTTATCCACCAATCAAAATACGACTTATACAATCGTGGCACTGTGTCAAATCGATGACATTCGACCGGTATAGACAGTCCAGCGTCCTTATTTGGTCCTATGTCCGCCTAACCCGTCCATTTGAAGTTCAGAACACCAAATACCAGCTTCCAATATGCCAATCGAATCATTTATTTCAGACATCATACTAGGTTTATATATCAATCAAACAGACCGCAACGCACCATAAAATAGGGAATAACATTTGTACACAATAGAGCCATAAAGTGTCTGTGAACGTGGGAGGCAGTAGTCAATAAACTGAGCATAGCTTAAGAACCGTAAATCGTACAGTAATAAATTATAGATCAAAATAAAGCTTATAATAAGAGGAATATAAATATACATAATTTAATTACTGAATAGTTATACCATAAGAATATATAGATAATATTAGTCAATTAATATGTCTCAGACATTACTCTTAATGTAATCTTCACTAGGATATAACAAATACCATAATGAAATTCTATGTATTGATAATGATAATAAGAAATACAAAGTATTAAGAATGTAGTTTATGTGAAGAAAGAAGAAGAAAGAATTGGTTCGTAGAAAGAAAGATATGAAGCGATTTTAATCTCTTAGTTTAAGGGAAGACAGGGAGTGTATACACCGACGCCATTGTGATCGATTCTGAGCCATGTCACCAAGAGTCCCATGACTGTTTAGGACTGCGATTGATCAGTGTCTCTTGTTGGCATATGCGCATCCTGTACGGATTGCCTCGACATTACCTTAGGTCATAAGCATTATAAGCAAAGATGGATAGTGGCTAGCCGTGGAATCCAGTTTGACGCGCGTTCCGTCCTATTTGGGACTACTCAGCTGAATGTACCTGCATCTAAGAGTTGATGTTCACTTCAGGACTCGAACTCTCTATCGTTCACTTCAAACGCCATCACATTATCCACTTAGCTATTGAGTCCTGATAGCCACTTGCTCGTGCAATGGGGTGAAGTTAAAATTCATTTGGTATTGTTTACTTGAATCTCCTCGTTGATGTTTATGACTACAATTGATCAGGCTCTTATTGGCATATGTGCATACTGTATGTATTGTCTCGATATTGCCTTAAGTATCACCCACCGTTTCCAACTATTAGTTGTGGTTATTGTGAGGATTTCAATCAGATAGTTTAACTCTACCGAAATGGTTTAGATCAATATTCAACGACTTCATATACGTACTTTCTACTTATTCCAACACCAATAAACATCATATATCCAGGTATACAGTGGCTGAGCATACGTAAAGCATATCTCTTAAATAGTCACAACCAATTGTTAGACGGAATAGTTCAGAATACTGACGCAAAGATACCAAATTTATTGTACTTCAGTACACGTTTAGCAACACCGTTTTATTCTACTTTTTTGAAAATTATTCTTAATCTTTCTGACTATCAATGGTACTATGATTGCTTTGATTCTTTGGCTATTCACCTTTTTAATACCATCTCATCAGGCTGATTTAGTATGATAACTTAAACTAACACACATATATGTCAGATCCTTTGTTGATTATGATTAATTGACTAGAGGTTAGACATATTGTACGTGACAAAAATGATAAACTAGTTGAGGATCTTGTAAATTTTTATCAACTGAGATGATTAGGACATCCTATTATGCATGCCCAACAACCGACTACCTTGACAAGCAATTCTCTCTAGTAAATTGGAAGGTAGGGATGGCTCAACCTGAACGTAGCAGAAGTCCATCAAGTCACTAATGGTTTTTGCAGATCCGACGCTTACATGATGTTCGGGAGCAGAAAACGCCGGAAAATAAGGCTGATTTAGGACACGTACGTGAATGTTCGGACTAGATATTCACTCTTCATCGGGTTATAGATAGGTATACACATCACATCATAGTTGTATTCCTTAACTTCAAAATGACATTCGCTTTCGACTTTATGTTGAACTGTTATCAAAAGAACCAGTGGCATCAGCCCATGAAACGACTAACTATCGGTCTGAGGCATGGGGTAGATACAGAGTGATAACGGCGATCAGTATTTAGAGACTTTAGGTGACATCGTTCAGAATCATGAACAATGGATCAGATGCATTCAGTTCTTATCTTTCTCTCTATCTTGAATTCCAATGTCCCTTCATACATACCTTTTCATTCTGTCTTAACGAATTGAATTCCTAATGTTTAATCTTTCTTTTTAACTTCGCTATGACATTAGTTCGATCAGTTATGTTATTTTCATTTACTAGCGCTTATCTCTAGTACGACAGCTGGTTGCAATGTACAATTTTATTGATGATGTTTGTCTATCTATCTATATGTCTGCAGTCATATGTAAACATTATTGGGCACTTTCAAGCTGACAGAAAATCATCTTACGCCTGTTACCACTCATAGAAAACAGGCCACCACCACCAACGAACTTTGTCCTAGGCTGTCCTTTACCAGTTCTCGCCAAGTACTGTTCATTCTTTTGATTTCTGTACCCAATTCCCGACACATTGTGTTCTTTGTTCTATCTCTTTTCCTCCATGCTTAATGATTCCATGTTAGAGATTGCTTCGTGATTCAGTTTGGTGATTTCCATAATATGTGTCCTATTCATTTCCAGAATCCTTTCTGGATTTCCTGTTCACCTGGAAGTTGGTTTATCCTTTCCCACAGTAGATTGTTTCTGATGGTATCTCCAATTTTCAGCTCCCTACAATAGGACTGTCTTGACGATTCTGATTTTGATGTTTGCTAACAGATATTTTGAGTTCCATATGCTCGTCAATTGTAGGAAGGTTTCCCTTGTTTTGCCAATCCGTGCCTTCACATCTGCATCAGATCATCTTTGCTTATCAATGATGCTGCTTAGGTACGTAAAGCTTTCCGCCTCTTCCAGAGCTTCTCTATCAAGTGTGATTGGGTTGATGCTCATTGCGTTATCTTCTCTCGTAAATGCTGAGGTCTACTGCTGCAGAGGCGACTTCTACAATGGATGTCTTCATCTGGATTTGTTGCTGTGTATGAGATAGAAGAACCAGATTATCTGCAAAGTCCAAATTATCTTACCATGCCTAAACTTTCTACTGCATTCCATGCTTTCCCTGAGATGTGTAGATCTTAGTAATCCAGTCAACCACTCCACCTAAGGCCCTTCTAGGGTTACTGCTGATCTCAAGTCTTAATTAAAGGAAGAGGGTTAGAAACCCCATCCCACAGAAAAGAACCTTGCTAAAAAAAACCCAGGGAAAGAATATAATCAGCTGGTTAGAATTGATAGAAAAACAATTATTACTTACGATAAATAATCGAATTTCGTCTGTTCTTGAACCGATAATATTACTGCCCAAACACCCCAGAACAAGTGAGCCGACTGTGTAAATGACAAAATAATCAAGAAACAATTAGATATTAACACATACCGTGATATTTATAAGTAAATATATTCCATGAATAACCAAACTGATCTAATAAAAAGGGCTATTTGACAAAGTTTAGGGTTCATAGTTATATAATATACTCTTGTGAGCCAGAGTAATTTGACATTGGTTTTCGAGAGTACCAGACACCATCCAGACTTTCACCTGACAACTTAAACAGTACAGCCAGACAACACACAGGCTTAAAATTTTTAGCCCAAATGGCACGACTTAATACCGTTTTCAGGAGAACCAGACACCATCTAGGCCTAGACTTTATAACCCGAGCAATACAGCCTAATCCCGCTTCACAGCAGAACTAGACACCATCTAGGCTTTAACGCTACAATCTGAATAGTACAGCTCAATCCCTTGGCGCAACCACACAGGTACCAGGCACCCTGGTGGATCAAACGTTAAGGGTAGTCAAGACCAATTACTAAAACCCTAGTCAGAATCTAGCTTCACTTACCTCGGTTCAAGAAATTGGTTACTACCATTAGCTTTTACACTTACACTGTGGCTCATACCCAATATACTTGGTGAGTGAGTTAATTTTAAAAAATTTTACACACCATAGAAATACGTCACATCTATGACAGTATAACACACTTTCCTATCTTCATCCTGATTGTTCAAAAGATTTGTAGGAAGTCTCCAACCTTATCCATTTTCTATACTACCGACTTTTCGTCAAACTCATTAATTATTAGCAAACAAAAGATACAGTTGGATACAGAAAGAGAATGTTTGTATAACACAAAAACCTTAGAAAATAAAACACCACTCTTTATCCAGACGTTGTGAACACCTGGATCTTGACTGAATAAATGAGACAGAAGAAGTAAGAAGTTCATTAGTGACAAGCTATAAAGATTAGTTCATTACACTATTATTTCCGACAGTATCTTTCACTAACCAATATTATTTATTATTTATTTATTTGGACACATGAATATTGGTACAAGAGAGCGCCAATATATATGCGCCACACAAAACAATGAAAATTCGAGAGGAATACAAAGAAAGAAAAAAAAAGCTAAGGAGCGCAACAAAAAAGAGAGAACAATAACGAAGAGATTGGTGTAAGGTAATGTGCTAGTAATCAGGGAACGCAAAGGTACAATCGGAAGAAATCTTTCAGGTAAGGGAGACACAACCACTTTTTATGAAGAAAGTAAAAGAAGGTTACAGCAGGATCGCCACTGGCTTCTATTCTGAGCCATATCTGATAACGTCTCTAGCCACTGTGTAGCACCATCTCTCAGACCCCAACCAGGGAGTCGTGAAGGACCAACACAAGCCAGTCCTTTGCAGCTTTCTTTCATGCCACGACACCATGTCATGCACTGACCACCTCTCCGCTTCTTCCAACCAGTCCCAGAGTCGGCAAATAATGCACGACGTGGAATTCTCTGGGACGACATTCGGAGAACATGTCCAAGCCACCGAAGTCGGTGTTTCAAGATGGTGACACCAATTGATATATCATCTCTGTGCCCGAACACACGATGCCGAACCTCTGCATTACTGACATGGTGTTGCCACTGAATGTCAGCAATCCTTCGGAGACAGCGATGATCGAACACAGAGAGTCGTCTAACGTCCTCAACTCGGAGAGGCCAGGTTTCACAAGCATAGAGCAAAACTGCTCTCACCGACGCGTTGTAGATCCGACCTTTTACAGCCAGACTAACATCACGAAGGCGCCAAAGGTGGCCCAGATTGGCATAAGCCGCTCTGGCTTTCACTATACGTGCATTGATCTCATCACTCACACCCCCACCAGCACTTATGCAGCTACCCAGATACACGAACTTCTCGACTACGTCTATCTGCTCACCATCCAGGGTGAGTACAGGATTGGAATCCTGCCAGTCTTGTAGAAGTACTTTGCACTTCGAAGGTGCAAAGCACATACCATACCTACGGACACTGATTGCCAACTGATTAAGTGCGGATTGCATGCCTTGGGCATTATCGCACAGTAAGACAATATCGTCCGCATACTCAAGGTCGAGAAGTCTTTCTCCAGGCAACAGATCCACACCACCATTACTTACATTCATCAGAGCTGTTTCCAGAATGTCATCGATGGCAAAGTTGAAGAGGAATGGTGAGATTGGGCAACCCTGCCTAACCCCACTGCTCGAATGGAACAATGGAGAGAGGTGGTTGTATGCCCTCACTCTGCCTGAGGTGTTTTTATATAGGGCTTTTAGGATGTTAATAAACTTCTCAGGCACACCCTTCTTCAATAGACAATCCCAGAGAACAGTCCTGTCCAACGAATCGAAGGCAGCCCTGATGTCAAGAAACACTACGATTGTTGGCCTTTGATAAGTATGGCGGTGTTCTAACATTTGGCGGAGGGTGAAGATATGATCAATACATCCTCGACCAGAACGAAACCCAGCCTGCTCCTCGCGAGTCAATCTTTCTCGGGTTTTGAACAACCTACGAAGTATGACGGAAGCCAATAGCTTGGACGCAATCGGAAGTAGACTTATCCCCCGATAGTTGTTACAGGAACGACGTGAACCCTTTTTAAAGATAGGGACAACTATCGACTCATTCCATGACGTTGGTACACTCTCTAGTTCCCAAACCTTTGTAAACAACGTCGTCAATTCCTTAGTCAAAAAGTCACCACCATCTTTAAAAAGAGCCGGAGGTAAGTCATCTGGGCCAGGTGATTTGTAACGCTTCAAGAGTTGGAGTTCCTTGCGGACTTCCTCCTCGTTTGGTGGATCAGTCGTCACCGGCCATGGAGGGCAGGACAGTCTGACCGATGTTGCCGGAGCAGCAGGCCAGTTGAACTGCCCTTCGAAAAATTCTGCCCATCGTCCAAGACGTCGATGGATGTTAGTGATTGGCATCCCATCATCCTCGCAGATTGTTTCACTCACACCAGACTTCTTGCTGCCAGTGGCTCGGATGAGCTGGAAGAGCTTCCGGTAGTTACCAGATGCAGCTGCTGCTTCCAGCTCATTAGCACGCATCGACCACCAGGCTTCTCGGTCCTTACGCAAGCTTTGCCCAATTTCCTTACGTAACATCCTTCGTTTATGGTCAAACTCACGGTCACCCGGAGTAGACCGACGGGCTTCAATGAGTTGTAAGGAACCAGAAGAAACCCAGTGCTTAAAAGCGGGACGTTTCGCAAACCCACAACTGACTGTTCCCGCCATTTTCATGGCGTCATGCAATTGCAACCAATGCTCATCTATACTTTTCGGTGGAGTGGTAGCTAGCCTAGAGGCTAGCTCGGTTCGATACTTACTTGCAACAGAAGTTGCAACCAGCTTGCTAACATCAATCCGTTGGTGGTGGTCACTTCGTTGTCCACTGAAAAGTAAGGCAAGATTGGCGCAGACCAAGGCATGGTCAGAGTCCAGATAGGTACTCCAAAAGGAGCGGCAGTCTTTACACAACCACGCCAGCGGTAGCTGATCGCGATGTGATCAATCTGAGTCCAGGCTTGAGATGCAGAGGGAGGACGCCAGGTGGCACATCGGCGATGACTGTGCCGAAAGTTAGTGCTAGCCAGAAACAGGTTGTGGTCTGTGCAAGTTGCAGTAGACGGTCCCCGTTATCTGACCTGCGACCAACGAGTCCCCATCGGCCACCTAAACGACTCTCTTCTGTGCCTAGACGCCCGACCTGAGCATTCAAGTCTCCGGCTAGTACTACAATATCTGTCGAACGCACTTTCTGGAGAAGAACTGATAACTGGTGGTAAAACTCATCCTTGATTGCATCCGGGCTGCAATCTGTCGGGGCATAGGCGGAGATGACGAAAAGACATCGTTTCTCACGCCGATTTCTTCTCACTTTGATGGAACTTTCTAATCTAACAGCACATAACCGACTGTTAATGGGGATCCAATCGACTAGTGCTGCCTCAGCTCTAGCGCTTAGTGCGACACCAACGCCAGCAAGACCAGACGAAGATGCCACAGGGTCCCCGGATAAGCGCACGTAAAACAAGCTTTTCGAAGCGACAGATGGAGATCGAATTTGTAGTACTTCGCCAGAGTCTTGAATACGGGTCTCGGATAGACAACACACGTCGATATTAAGACTTTCCAAAGACATAGCCAGCCCTATCTGTTGTCCGACCTGCATAAATGTGCGAACGTTGAAGGCAGCCAGTTTGAATGGTGCACGTGGTTTCAGAAAAACTGCTTCAGTACTCATATTCGATGGTAACATACAATTTTCAACCGGACAGTGACTCGAGAACGTATAGATACAGTCGGATTTCCGCCAAAGACGAGCCGCTGTATAAGTATAAAAGAGGGTGAATAATCTGGGAAATAATAATAATAATAATAGTATTAATAATGACAATAATAGTAATGATAATTATTTGAATCGACTGATTGTTTTTCGGAGCGATAAAAGTAGTTGCCAAAGACATAGAGTTCATCGTTCTTTCACTAACAACTTACGATAAGTTATGACTAAGATGATAATGAAGAATATTTGTAGCTCCTGATGAAAATTTTGAAGGTGTTTAGTTCTCTTATATGGAAGACTTATTCGTGAAGTTTTCAATGTCAAGAACATTATCAGCACACAGTTCATTAAGAATGAAGTTATTTTGGATTTCGTCACAATTAACTGGTTGCTTGTGTTCTGTTAACCTAGAATTCGGTTGTATATAGGTAAGTTGGTCGTTATTTATTTTAATGTTAATAACTTACTTTTTAATATAGTATGTGCTGATCATAAGTGATTGATCACTGGGTAGTGATCAATGTTATGTGTGTCAAGTCCTTCTTAGTGAAGATAGGGTGCTATCGAATCCGTCAGGGAGCACCAATTCCCTTAAGATTACAGGTACATCTTGCTGACGAGTGCCAAGTAGCACGAAACCCGGGTCCACGGTTTTCTATTGACTACCTCCAACAACCAGCTAACAATATGTGCTGATAATGTTCTTGACAAGAAAAACACTGGAAAGCTTCACGATTAGATCGTCCAGTTCACAGAATACGCTAAACAAAAAAATCATTTGAACTTTGCCTGTAGCACTTCTAGGGTTACGACTGGTTATGTTAAGCAGCCTGTTATGTGAAGGACGTTGACTGCTTTCAAGACAAATTCCCTTGCATATCTAACGTTCGGATCATTGGGCATACCAAGGTCATCATAAAAAATTCAAAAACTGATATTAAGTAGAAAGAATAGTAGAAACCAGACAACTGTCTCGTTAATGTTTAGGAGTGGCTATTCAGTAAGCACCTACAATCCCATCAAGGATTTAACTTAGGATCGATGTGTCTTACATCCGGCATGACTCAAATTGAGTTGAAATTCAAAGGTCTACATTATCTCACTTTCAAGTTAACGGACTCCTTAGGCTATGACTTCTCAATAAGATCTTCAGAAATCCATCTCGAGGTTATTCATCAATTAAAATAAAAGTATTACTTAAAAAAATCAAGAAGAGTTTGAGTGGAGTCAGTAATTATCACTTCCCAAATGAATACTTCTTGAAATAAGTGAGAAGAAAACTGAGTTCATAATGGTCATGCCGACCTTGGAGCGTAATCGCAGAACCTAAACGATATCTGCTTGAGGTTGATTGAATAGTCTTTTTGTCAATAGTTTCGATATAAAAGCTCCGTGTTTTTATGACCTTACTGCCGGTGCACTACTTTGGAACTGACACTCATTGATCTTCTTTTCAATGTAAAGAAGTAGTCTATCCAGAGATATCAATTATTTGTAGAAAATACTATATTGAGGTCACACACCTTCAGATCCTATATGTTGCTCTTGATCTTACTGAATACTCTCTCTAATCGATTTCTTTGGCAAGATAAATGACTATAACTAGATTTTAAAAAATCATATTTATTATATGCAAAGATGGATAGTGGCTAGCAGTAGAGTCCAGGATGCACGTTTCGTCCTATTTGAGACTCGTCAGCCGGATGTACCTCCATCTTAGAGTTGACATTCACTTTGGGACTCGAACCCGGAATTCCATCACGTTATCCACTTAACTACGGAGTCCTGATAGCCACTTGCTTGTGTAATGGGATAAGATGCAGGTAGATCTAGCTGATAAGTCCCAAATAGGACGAAACGCGTGTCAGACTGGATTCCACTGCTACCCACTATCCATCTTTACTTATAATGCTTGCGAATTCAAGCAATATCGAGTCAATCCGTACAAGATGCACATATGCCAATAAGAGAGACTGATCAATTGCAGTCTTAAACATCAATGGGAAGTTTCAAGTGAACAACAATACCAAATGAAGTATATTTCTATTACCAATCCGCATGTATATCTATATCTATATAATACTTACCAGAGCAAAATTATTCACTTCAATCAACCATTTCTCAAGTAAACTTTCATTTTCACAATGATTATTATTATTATTATTATTACTATTGTTATGATCTTGATCTATATGATTCGAATATGAAGTGATCATTATAGGAGTAGTGGAATATCCATTATGAATAATTTCCGCTTGTTGATTAAATTTTTTTTCATAATAATTTTTAGCTTTTAAATATTTACTTATCCACATACGTTGATATTCTTTTGTTGGATAATTATCAAAATTGACAACATTGATACCTAATCATAATAGAAATAGGAAATACAATAAATGATTAACAGTTTATAATACCCATTTAGTAAAATTTGTTTTTATATGATTAAGACTGCTAGTAATCGATAAAGATTATTAAGCTTTTGGTTGAGATCCGTGTCGGGTAGAGACAGTACAATGGAAGATGGTTGCGCGATTTCGTGGATTGGTTGAGGTTAGACATTGACACCGTTGGATGCCGGCCAGCTCAGCGGTCTAGAAGTTAAGTGTTCACGCGCTAGACTGAAGGCCATGGGTTCGGATCCCACGAATGAGATCGTGGATACATGTTGCTGAGGAGCCCCGCAATAGAACGAAACAGCGGTTCAGTGCTTCCAGGTTTTCAATGATGGTCTAACACTAATCGGTTCATGATCTTGATCAAAAAGAATGTAATTAATTTGAGAGCGATCTCGAATGCTATGAGAGATAATGAAAACAAATATCACTTCCAAGTTGCTTAAATTCCTTCTTTGAGGATATGGGAAGAAAATTGGGTTAAAGGGTGATCTTGGTGACCTGCGGACGAGACTATAGTTTTCAGGTGACAACTTCTTGAGGTCAGTCGCACACTATCTTTATGAGGGTAGCTTTCGATGGATCTGTTTTTAAGGCCTTACCGCCTGCGTCACAAATTCGTCGGGCAATATGTGGAGTGTGATTTTTAGCAGCAACCTTCAGTAAGCCCAATCCTACGGTTGTGTGAAAGTTACATTACTAGAGATGTTGATCTTCTGAGGAAGACAACTTATTCTCGTCTGAGTATAGTATACTTGGTAGCACGATAATGTTCGTGGAGCTTAAATCCCTGTTTTTAATTGTACCACTTTCAACCAAATCACCTGGGATAATATAACCCGAACAATAGGATAATCCAGCAAGTATGGTTTGAATAGGTCATCACGATATGCAAACTCGACTATTATGTCAAAGTAGGAGCTACATTCGGGCTGTACTATCTTTTATATATGACACACATTATGCAGTATACACGTAAGTGTATGTGCCAGGTATGTTTCTTCATTTACTGCTTTGATAACTATTATGAGAAACACTCATGACTTCATAAACAGAAACACTGCGCTACGTTATCGCCTAGACATAAACAAGCGAAAAATGGCAATAAACAAGACAAGTAGTTCATAATTAATTAACAGTAATTAAGGATTATTGTCAGAATGGGGATTTGTGGAGATTGTAGTAATTTTTAATAGTTGAATTAATGAGTTGGTCTAAGCTAGACCATCATTGAAAACCTGGAAGCACTGATAATAATCATATGCTCACTAATGACTAGCTTCAAGATGGATTTCCAGGAGTTCTAGTGAGAAGCCGTAACTAGTAGAGTTCGATTCGTGTCGGGCAAAAACTGTTATCCACTTCAGACAATGGATGAAGGGTTGTGCAAGATCATAAATGGACCGAAGTTAGACATTAACACCGTTAGATGCCAGCCCAGTGGTCTAGAGGCTAAACTTCCGCGCGCAAAACATATGGGCCCGGGTTCGAGTCTCACATGCAAGATCGTAGCGGCGCAGTGTTGAGGAGTCCCATACTAGAACGAAACACCCATCTAGTGCTTCCAAGTTTTCAGTAGTGGTCTAGCTTAGACTGACTTATCCAGTCCGACGGAAGCTCACGATAAAGAGAAATAAAAAAATTAGGATAATGCAAATGATTAAATAATTTTATACAACAGAACTATAAACAATAATCATCCATCAAAATAATCCGATAAGTTTCATTAACGATAATGTAAATTGTTTACATCAATAATTAAAATGTTAAAATTATCAGTTGTATATTGTCTATTTTTTATTTATTTATTTAAAGACATAAACATTGGTACAAGGAGGCACCAAATAGATATGCGCCACATAAATCATTCGATGTATGTGAGGGCTAGGATACTGCCTGGGTGCCCAAACCAAAGCAGGTGGTTTTCTTAGGGGACTACACCCGGAGCCTTCGACTTAAAGGTACGATCCAAAAGGCAGTAGAACAACGGCAGCAGATGCAGTTCCATGGTAGCCGGTGACCAACGATTGGTTCATACACCAGTTGTTCCTTCAGGATCCTGGAACCCATGTTCACCATTGATTTGGAATCAGGGTTTTCCAACTTCCCTAGGTGGACTCTCCGTTTCCACCAAGCCCGCTTAAAGCGCCAGATATTCACTTTTCGTCCTCTCAATTTCGTAAACAATACTCAAGCCGCGAGAAGGCAGTGAATCTATTTAATTTCACAAATTATTTACACATTTAATATGAATATAATCATGATTAATTAATCTAGAATGTGGTATAGTGTGGTGTTTACATGAACTAATGATTCATTTGTACTTGATGACTGTTTGATTTCGAATTCTAAATACAATACGTTCGTTCGTGGTTAGCTAGTTCTTCTTGGTCTAGATTGTGTTATTTCTGGGATTCTTAGTTTGTATAATAATCATCACATATACTTTACTAGAGACATAACTGATAGGGTGGATATAGATGAATCTTTCATTTCGGAGGAAAGAAAACCCTTGTAGACTATGTCTATACGCCTCAAATACTTTAATTGAGGTAGAATATGTATACAATATATGTATATAATATGTAAGATGACTTTAAGTAAAAAAAACTGGTAAGAATCCCCACTTGACAGAGATTGCATGTTACTTGAAGTCATATTAAAAATAAGTACAGCTATGGAGAAACAAATAGAAACAGGGTATAGAATGCATGAAATAATATGAAAATTAGTAGCACTAAAGGTTTGTGGAGACTACTGAATGCTATTGACATCACGGATCTACTTAAGCTAGACATCTGTTGAAAACCAGAAAGCACTGGATAGCTGTTTCATCCTAGTATGAGATTCTTCAGAAGCTCACATCCATGACCCCATAGAGGATCGAACACATGACCTCTGATCTTGTGGCCAACACTTGACCTCTAGACCAACACGCCGAGATCCACTGATGTACAAGTGGTCTGGAAGTTAAACGTCCCCTCCCGAATCCGGTTCTGAGTTCAATCCCTAGTTTCAGGATCATGGATGCACATGTCTGAGAAGCCCGACTCTAGGACGAAACGGCTTTCCAATGATTTCAGGTTCCAATGGTTGTCTTAGGTTTATTCGCAATCTTAACAAAATTCAACAATCTTCACAACCTTAATATTGATGCCTATTTATATTTCACTACCAACTCATGCCTAGTCAATGCATTAATGCGTTGGATGATTGCCGACCTATTAATGCTACCACTATGCACTGCCCGACTTTCAATCTATTCAGTTTAAAGGGTTTTGTGAAAGCTAGAGAGTAATGGAAAGTCGTTTTGTTCAATTATAGGACTCCTCAACAATCCTTTCTACGCTTTAGATAATCTTCGATAGAAGTACTGAAATGTTTGCATACTCTTAGCAATACATGATGCTATAATGATGATTTACCAATAGACAATATCAATATTCGAGTCTCTATTAAATAAAAAAGTGTACGTACATGCGCAGATATGTTAGGTGGTTAGAGGTAGCCAGGAGAAAACCCTGCATAAACCTGGCTTCTTGGAAGATGGTAATCATCAAGAGAACGTACCTGCAGCCTTGAAGGGATTGATGTTCACTGGCGGATTCGGAATAGGAGTGATTAATCAACATAAATATCACAATTCTACAAAACAGGTCAATCACCTCTCGAATAGCTCAGTGGTAATGTCCCAAACTGTAAAAAATGCATAACGCAGGTTCAAATGCACCAAAGAAAATCATTTCCATGAGGTCGCAAACACTCATTGTTGACGAGTACCAACTAACATGAAACAGAGGTTTAGTGTTTCCTGATAAATACCTCTAACCACCCTACATCTCATCAACACTGTGCTAGCGATATTATATGATCTAAGTTGCTGGTCACATATGGATTTGATCAATAGAATTCGACTGTTATTTAGGACTAAACAAACATAATATTGGTCATTATACTCAGAGATGACAAAAAGAGTCCTTCTAATCAATGTATTTAATTAATTATTTATTATAATTATCGATTATCACTTACCGGCAAATTCACAGAAATGATTCCCAATATCAAATGCTGCATGATTAAATCCACAATATTCAAAATCAATAAAGTGGACTGATTCTTTTTTATGACAAGTAAAGGTAAACAGGGAGAGAGAGAGAAATAGAAATGTTAAACAACCTTCTATCTATAACATTTTAATGTAAGAAAAAACATTATTCTTACGAAAAAGCAAGAATGGATGAGGTTTTATTTAAATATGGCTTCAGGAAGTATTTCCTGGAGTTCTAGTAAGAAGTAGTGACTAGTGGAGCACAACCGGGTCTGTTGTGAGATAGTAACTCACTGAAGACGACAGTGGACGGTGGCGCAACTTTGTGGATTGATTGAAGTTAGACATTGACACCGTCGACTGGCGGCACAGTGGTCTAGAGGTTAGGCATTCGTGTGCGAGACTAATAGGTTCTGTGTTGGGATCTCGCGAGGCGGGGTCGTGGATGCCAGTTGCTGAGGAATACCACACCGAAACGAAACGGTCGTCCAGTGCTTCCAGGCTTTCCATGGTAGTCTAGCTTCAATTGATTCATGATCGCAACTATTGAAATATGTAGTTGCCTATCTGTATGCTTTTGTGAAGTACGCTACTACATGATTACATAGTGTCTACTCATTCCACACGCATATCTGAACACTACGCTGAATTGTTATCTAAGAATACATGAAAATTAGTCATCAGCTTATGAGTTAGAGAAGATAGAGAGAATGAATGCAACTACGTCACTGTGACTGATTTGTACTATGTTGCCAAAAGTTTTAAACCATTGATAAATGCTGTTGTGAAGGCAATAGTGCGGAAGTCTGAAAATACCAACATGTTTCAGATAAGCAATCAATGAGTTTATAATGTGATACAATGTCTTTACCATCCCGACCCTAGCTTGTTGCCAACTTAATCATATGTCAGCTAGCACTTTACGTCTAGATAGAAGAGGTTAGAGAATAAAAGATGACAAATGCGATTATCGAACTGGGACTTAACAGATATACGGAACATCCTGATGGTTCTTCGACTAAAGCATAAACAAATTTTGGATTCATTGTTTTCATATGATCTTTACGTGACACTGTTTGTCAGTAATCAACTGATACATTACATGAGAATGAGTTGTTTGGTTGTGACCGAACAATTCATTACATTTGGTGGCAATACCATTTAAGTTTTGTTGAACTTCAGTGGTGTTTTAGGGTGCAGGAATAGTAATCTAACCAATGCCACAATATTGAAACACCAGTTTCGGTGACCCGACTAAGTGCTACGAATCCTATCCAAACAGCTTCCCCCATCAGGCATTATGTTCATAGGCCAGTTTACTATATAGATTACACCTCGTGGAGGAGCATAGGCCGACCACCAGCACTCTCCATCCAACCCAGCATTTAGTCAATTGCAAATACATTTCAGTCCTACAAGAAGTAAGTTGCAGCCCAGATATATCATTGGTAACGTCTCTGACTGTGAGGCTGAGTGACACGAGATTGAATCCGTCTGGAAGCATTAGTTCCCTCAAGATTGCAAGCACAACTTGCTGAGGAGTGTCAAATAACACGGAACCTAGGTCCAGGGCTTCCTCTCGATTATCTATAACTAGCACCATAGATCTCAATATAGTGACCGTGATGTTGAGTCACCTAGACTAGTGGCCACATTGCAACTTGGTCATTGGAATTTGATCTGTGCTAAAAAGAGAACCGACATAAATGAAGTTGGTCACGACTCAGTGATCAATCAATTGTAAATGACGTGAATTTCGTAGCCATCTTGCTAACTGAAATCCATCTTTTAAATAGCATTGCCGTTCATCCTATTATTGACTATACTTCGCTTCCTCTTTATTTCTACTGGTTGGCGTTTTTTAGCGAGTTAGTTTTCTACGGGATGGGGTCGTTAATCCCAACCTTCCTCTTTTATCCGGGTTTGGGATCGGCATTAACCCCAGAGGGTTCCAAATGGAGTGTTTTATTCCTACTAAGCAAATCATAAGATTACTAAAATTTTGTTAACAATGCTAAAACCTTACTAGAAACGATAATCGTGAATTCCTTTTTTCTAACACCACTTGGAGAACTACAGCTAGCATCAAAGAAGCACAGGTATTTATAAACAGTTGTCTACGCAACATACTCCACATCCATCAGAAACAACATACTGTGAAAAAGGACAAGCCAACTTCCAGATGAAGAGGAGATTATGAAAAGACTCTGGAAGTGAATAGTAAACATTGTGGAAATCACCAAACTGCATCACGAAGCAAGACTAAACATGGAATCATTAAGCATGGACGAAAAGAGATAGACCAAAGAACACATTGTATCGGGAATTGGAGACAGACATCGAAACAATGAAAAGTACTTGGCGAGGACTGGAAATGAGAACCCGTGAAAGAGTTGGAATCCTTATTGGTGGCCTGTACCTAATGGGAGGTAACAGGCGTAAGCAAGTAAATAAAACACACTAATCCAAAAAACCTTTCCACTTCAATGATGACGTTCAGTGTTAAATATGACTATTAATACTACCGAAATGCAGCAAAAAGAGGTATTTCAACTTACTTTCATCCGGAGGCATGACAATATTTCCAGCTAATAAGTCATTATGACATAGGACAACTGGGGAAATAGGGTTTTTAAGTAATTTCTCTAAATACGCCACTTCATTCAAGAGGACTGTTTTTGAAGGAAATTCATTTTTAAATCTAAAACAAGAAACAAATTTCTTTATTACGATTTAATCATATGGTTCCCATACTGACGGTATCTTAGTGATGAAAACATTCCGTATGCTGTAGGTCCCAAGCATGCTCGATCTTCTTGTTGGAAAGCCGTGTTAGTACTAATTATCAACATGCAAATGATGTGTAATTCAATTTTGAATAGTTTAGTCTGGTTCTTGGTAAATAAGTTACATTTGGTCAGGCATTTTAGATATATTAATGCATGTATTTTGAATCATAACTGAATAAAATACAGTAGATAATTAATACACCTTCTATCTCCAACTTCTAATATGATGATAGGTTAGAAGGAGCTCAAAGACCAATAAGCGTTAAGGTTTTGGCCGTTGTTCATTGATCGATGTGTCAGTTATTAAATAAAAGGTCATTGATCCTACTAACAATATAAATAGACTAATCAATAGTTGAACCAGATAATACAACTGCTGCCGTAATAACGGCCAAACCACATTGGACCTAATACAACCCAGGTCTCTATTCCTCCATTCTTTGTTGCATCGTATCTATTCATCTGTTTACGTAATTGTTATTTTTTACGATTTTATTCAGTTCCGATGTACACTTTCTATGATACACCGAACCCACTATGGAGATGAGAGGAGTGACATAAATAAGAATGGTTAATTCCCAAATCGAACTACAATGTACAGAAATTGTAGTCATATTGGCATATACGATTGTCTTTCTGATCCAGACAAGAATATATAGGCTGAGACTTTGAGAACGTCCGTGATTGACTCACTACAATAAAGTAACTCGTTTATAATATCTCGCCAACCACTTAACCTCGAAATGATTTGCGATCACGGATACATGATATGCATATATTTTCCCATTCTATCAGTGCCATATAAGTGAATAATTACGGTGGATAATTAAGTTCCACAGGTTTTTAAATACTAATTGAATCAATGACGTTCTATAAAGTTAAAACAATAGTGGGCGTACTTAATACAGAACGGTTGAAAGCAATCGTCAGGAAGTCCAGATGGATCTTTGTTTTGTACCGGCCATAACTTACCCATAAACAGCATCTGGATGGAATTAATAATTCTCGCAGGATTTGGGCACGTGTCATTGTATTACAGTTAGAGGTGTTCGCATTAGTTATCATAGCAACCATAGTTAATTAGATAAACTGTAATTTAAACTCTTTTTATAGGGGAGGACCGATAATATGTCATAGATTTCAGTAAAGTAGATTATGAAGGCTTCGAATGTCTGGATTACACTGATCAATACTACTGCTAAAACTCATCATTGTTATGTAGTAGGTTACCCTGATTCTAAGTGGCCGAGAGATTTTATCTAACCAGCTGATTGGATACATAATGACTATGAAAAAATTAGAATGGCAACTAGACACAGGAACCAAAAAAATAATCGAACCTTCTCTATTAAGCCGTTTTTAAGTAGATGTTGATATGTTGAGCAAAAATTAAGCTTCATGGTGATTGACATGGCGAGTATAAACATGTAAAATATATATGCTCATATGTCATTTTTAATGCAAACACCAGGTGCGGAATTGTAAATGAGGCACGCAATTGGGGGTAGTCGACTTTGCACTTAGTCAAGGGTGTCTACGATTTATATACATTATAATTCTTCTCATTGATTTCATTCTTGTTAGTAAACCATTGAAAGTGTACATCGAAATTGAATGGGATCGCAATACACAATACACTTAGTCAGGTCTTAATTTACTGGGATTTGGATAGAATCTACGAATTCTATATCTCGTAATCCATTGTCTGTTAATTGAGTTATACTTATGGTTATTTTTATCTTTAATATTTTATGCATCAAAGCAAGTTATTACATTATCAGAGTCTGACCAAAGACCTTGTATCTCAGGCGCAAATGCTTTACCTCTAGATTACTGGCCGGCCATCCAATAGTGTTAAAAACTAACTTTAATCAATTCATGTGATTGCTAGTGAATAGCTTCAAGGTGTGACTTCTGGAGTTCTAGAGAAAATCTGTGACAAATGGAGTTGTCCACCACATGCAAACGATAAAGATTGCAAGATTAAACTGACTGATTGAAGCTAGACAATAACACTGTCGGATGACGACTCAGAGGTTAAGAGGTTAGGAGTTCGCTTCCCAAGTCGAAAGTGTTCAGTCCGATTCTTAGATGTGGATCAAGAAAGTACACTGCTAAGGAATCCCATATCAGGACAAAATAGCCGTCTAGCGCTTTCAGATTTCCATTAGTGTTCTAACTAACATCAGTTTAAGATAATGAACATTATACAATCTCCCTGTACAAGTCATATAAAACTAGCCCATGGAGTGAAAATAATAAAATCATAATCCATAATAATAACAATCAAAAGACAGTTGTAATGATAAAAGAAAAGTTGATACCTTTCAAATTTTTGATGATCATTATTATAGCCAGTTGGTAATTTTTCAATCCATTTCCGTATTGTTGGAAAAAGTACAGGTTTTGTATAAAGTTTTGATGAATCATTTACTTCACTAGGGAATAAACGTAGCATAGTTTCTCGAGTTGGTAAACTATGCAATCTAGCCACTTGTTCAATTATTAATCTTGATTTATAGAAATAAAAAAGAAATAAGTAAGATTCAGATAAAAAAAAGCAAAAATTCTATAATCAGAAAGGGGTTTTTGTGGATATTATAGTAGTTTAATGGTTGAATTCATGAGTCAATTGAAGCTAGACCACCATGGAAAACCTAGAAGCAATGGACGGCAATTTTGTCCTAGTATGGGACTCCTCGGTGGCAGTGCGCATTCACGATCCTGTCTCGCAAGATTTGAACGCAGGACTTATCAGTCTCCTGGATTGGTCGAAGTTAGACATTATCATCGTTGGATACTGGCCGGCTCAGTGGTCTAATGGTTAAGCGCTCGCGTGCGACTGATAGGTCCTTGATTAGAATCTAGCGAGGTGGGATCGTGAACGCGCAGTCAGTCAGTCAGTAACAACGCAGAACTTCGTACGTACGTACATCAGTTCGAGTTGCCACACCACATTAGCACAGAGATGCACTTGTCGATTCAAATCCCGTAGTGGTAGAGGTAATAAGAGTATAAGCAGTAATCGGGAAGATTAGGGTTTGGAGATGTTATTTAAAGAGTATAATCCAGTGAAATAAATTTGGAAAGAGGAAAAAAGGGACATGAAGGATTCAGAAGATTAGAATTTGGGAGAACACAGAGAGTGGATGCACCTGCGCCATTGCAAACGATTTTGAGCCATGTCATTCAGGGTCTCTAACCATCGGTTGCTATCATCTCGCGGTCCCCAACCAGGTAGTCTACACCTACCAACATGACTCAGTTCACTTGTCAGTGACTTCATGGACTTGTGCCATGTTTTGGTTTGGCCGCCCCTAGCTTTCTTCCAACCTACTCCTATACCACTGAACATAGCACGTCGAGGCAGTCGGTCGTTGGGCATACGTAACACGTGTCCCAGCCATCTCAACTGATGAAGTTTCACTACTTCATCAATTGATTTGCCATCCTTACCTAGTACCCGTTTCCTAACAACTGTGTTACTTACTCGATGGTCCCATGATATACGAGCAATGTTTCGAAGACACCTATGATCAAATACTAGTAACCTACGAATATCCTCTACTCTTACCGGCCATGTTTCACTGCCATAAAGTAGGACGGAACGAACTGCTGCGCAGTAAACACGTCCTTTGGTTGATAGACGGATATCTCGCCTACGCCATAAATGACGCAAGTTGGCAAAAGCTAGTCGAGCCTTCTGTATCCGTGCTGAGATTTCGTCACACACCAAACCACAAGGGCTGATGAGACTTCCAAGATAAGTGAAGCGGTCGACACACTCAACTACTTCACTCCCTATCACTAGTTCGGGTGTCGATGTAACCCAATCCTGAAGCAACATTTTGCATTTCGAGGGAGAGAATCGCATCCCGAACATGCTTGCATTGTTGCTTAGAGTGGTCAGAAGACTCTGCATTTTGTCAGCGTCTTCACCAAATAAAACTATGTCATCAGCATATTCTAAGTCAACAAGTGAACCTCCCGGTAGAAGTTCAACCCCTGGAAATTTAGATGAGGAGAGTGTTATCTCTAAAAGTACGTCGACCACAAAGTTGAACAAGAATGGGGAGAGTGGACAGCCCTGACGAACACCACTTGAGGTAATCAATTCTGATGACAGTTCGCCATAAGCTCTCACTCTACCAGTTGTGTTCGAGTAGAGAGCCTTTATAAGGTTAATGTACTTCTTTGGTACTCCTTTCAGTGACAAACACTGCCATAGAACCTCACGATCAACAGAGTCGAATGCCGCCTTAAGGTCGAGAAATACTACCATTGTGGGGCGTCTGAATGTGTGTCTGTGTTCTAGAACCTGACGTAGTGTGAATATCTGATCTATACAACCACGTCCAGGTCGAAAACCGGCCTGGTTTTCTCTAATCTGCTCTTCACGAGCTTTGATTAGGCGTCGAAGTATTATTGAAGCTAATATTTTAGACACTATATTAGTCAAACTGATTCCTCTGTGATTGTCACAAGAGGACTTTTGTCCTTTCTTATAGACTGGCACAATCAGTGATTGAGACCAGTCAGATGGGATTACGTCCAGTTCCCAAATTCTACCTAAGACCTCGGTTAATCTCATTGCTAATACTGGACCACCATCCTTAAAAATCTCAGGAGTAAACCTGTCAGGGCCTGCTGCTCTCCCTCGTTTCAGATTTCCTATGGCTTTTTCAACTTCGTAAAGGGACGGAGGACCTACATTAACTTGCCATTCAGGTTGACTAGAGATCGTGGGAACGCGCACTGTCACTGAGGAGTTCCATACTAGGACGAAACGCCTGTCTACTGCTTCCAGGTTTTCAATAGTGATCTAGTCTCAATTGACTCATGAATTCGGTCACTAAAGATTGTATAGATAAATTTACATTGGAACATATTACGATAAAATAAAATCAATATATTAGAAACCAAAGTGTCTGATAAGTCTTATAGCTGAAAGCTTGATTCGATTTCCCAGCCGCTTCTAATAACCCAAGGTTAAATCTACATGGTAACGTGGACACAAGAGAAAAGGAGTGAATTGAGTATGGAACGATTTACTTCAACGTTAGTTTATATACAGAAAAAAAAACGAGGGTATTTATAGTATTACAGAAATGCCTTGGGCTACTGGAACGATGCTAAATATAGTTGCAGCATGGATAAATAACTGATAGGATGTTTCTAAGAAGCTTCAGTTCAGCGCTGACTGGATAAAATGTTTTTCAGCGTTTTTTGAGCCCCTATGGACGTTTCCGAGGAATATTTTGGATCTACTCAAGTGTGTCAAATACGTTCAATGATAACTAAACCAAGTGAAAGCGAAGTACAAAAAGCTTTCATTAATTACATCGCAATCGTCAACAGATATAAGTTAGACTACCATTGAAAACCTGGAAGCACTGGACGGTCGTTTCGGCCTAGTTGACTCTCCCAATCCTCGACCGTACCAAGGCATTAATATGCTTTAATCAATGAAGTTGACATGAATATTTTCAAAGTGGAAGGAAAAATTATTAAATTGAGAACATGATACAAAATACATAAATAAACATCGTTAAGACTGATGTATATTTCTGTTTAAAATACTGACAATAATAATATAGAATAAATAATTTGGTATTATAGTTACCAATAATCAAATTTCAGAAGAAAAAAAGGGATTGCGTAATTGTAATGAGAATAGCAATAAATGATTGTATCATTATTTTAAATAATTAAAACTTTAATTAATACATGACTTATCACTTCCCGGTTGCCCACACCGTAGAAGGGTTCTTCTGGAGGTACTTGAAAAGGAAATTGGATCAGAGGTGGTCTTAGTGAACTGAGAGCGTGACCGCAGTGCCCAAGGGACAACTGCTTGAGGTCGGTCACATACGACTTTTTTATGGGAAATTTTTATGTTATCGCCGTACTAGTTGAGACCTTACCGCCGGAGACGGATATCCGTGGGATAAGGAGAGGTGTGCATTTTTAGGGTCGACCTTTTCTAACCACAACCCTCCTTGTGGGAAGGCAGCATCGCTATTATGCTGGTTGTCTGAAGGAAACACCTTACTGCTGTCACACCTTTGTACAGTACGACTTCGCCTTCGGACCTTGGGTTTGTTGCTTTTAGTCTTACCGCTCTTCAACCGACTTGTCTGACATGGTAGGACCTTGAGGGACGGTTGTTCCAGCCAGTATAGCTCGGTTGCTTCATCATGATAGGCAAGCCCGACCACCACGTCGAGGTAGCAACAACGGTCGGGACACAATAGAAGTGGTAGCTTTTCATATCAAAAATTTAAATACATCAATTCTGTGACTGTTCGATTCGTTGTACAAAAAAACTTGGTCACCAAATTATAAATATAAGTAGAATATATTAAGATTAAGTATAGTGTCAATGACATATCAAATAATAAACAGAGGTGGTTAAGCAAACTATATTGAAACAGTAAATACATCATCTAGGTTCTAACATGTAAATAGGTCAATTAAGGTCAATACAAAAAGTTATGACGTGATTTGAACTATTGACTTTTGAGTAATCTGTACCATATTTTATTGATATTATAATCTAATGATTGTATATATCCTTCTGACTTGAAAGTGTAGTACATAATCGATAAGCAAATATGAATTAAGTGTTCTTAAGACAGTACGGATATATTTCTTCTATATTGATCAACTACAAACCTAACATTATTGACGAGTACTAACAAACAGCATAGAACTCCGGCTAGAGATTTCTGGAAATGTATATTAAAGCACATACGCATACACTTACACACACACACAATATTGACATGTAATTCTTCTGTTGAACTACTGGATTTATTACAAAATATGTTCAATTGATTTCGACCATTAAGAAAGATTTCAGTGATAAGACTAACTCTTCTATGACATGAATCATACACTTCATCAAAATTAAAAAAATAGTATGGTTAAGACAATGTTCACTAATGTACTATTTATTTAGTGTATTTGACACGGTATAAGTTAACATACATTGATATAATTTTAATAATTGAGATTATGAGTCAACTGAAGCTACACCACCATAGAAAACCTGGAAGCACTCAAATGCCGTTTCGTTTTATTGTAGGACTCCTCCTCAGCGGTGCACATCCACGATCTCGCATAAAAAGATTCAAGCCCAGGACCTATCAATCTCGCTCCAGGCGCTTAACCAACTAGACCACTGGGCAGGCATCCAAATGTGTTCATGTCTAACTTGAACTAATCCACGAAATTGAGCGACACATCCACCAGTGTCATCAGTGAGTTATTATCTCACAACAGACCCGGTTGAACTCCACTGGTCACTGCTTCTCATCAGAACTCCAGGAAATACCTCTTGAAGCCAGTCACTAATGAGCATATGTTGATTAATATCAGGAGTTTTTGTGGATATTATAGCTTCAATTGACTCATGATCTCAACTATTAAAATTATTATAATATCCACAAAAACCCCTTCTAGACTGATATAGTCAATGATGTTTCATGTATTTATGCAGTTTCTTCCAGAGCTACCATAATCATGGGTTGTTATTATTATAATTTATCAACTCTTATCAGAGAGTTCTGTCAGAGTGTAATCAACTGACACGTCCGACACATAGATGCAACAATCAATTCCTAATACACCTACTTGATGACTATCAAGATGTGGCATGCATACTTGGGCTAGCATACACTAGGACTTTACTTTCATTATAATTGATTGATTGATTGATATCATCCTTTCAGTCGACTAATTTCAGAAATCGTCCTATAAAGGTATATCAAAATGACTTTTTTTTAGGAAATCCATTATTCCCCCCCCCAAATGTGGACATGATCAGTTAATAATTGCGGTTCTGGATTATGTAACTATTGAGTTACCTTTTAAACCCAATGTCCTAAACTTGGAACCTGAATAAATGATTCACAAGGATACGATTTTTTTTTAAAAAATGCCATAAATCTTATGCCATTTTATTGCTTGTTTTAACGTTCTACGAGATGATTCACTGGAGAGACTGATCGAGTGAATTATATACTGCATACAATAACACATCGATTAATTCTACTGGATACTTGAATTGGATAGGAAGAAATGAAAACCACAGAGAGACAGACACACAGACACAATGTAAACCATGTACACAAAAAAATCTAGTAAAAAGTTGCCCTTTCCGCTCCCCCCTCACACTTTTCAACATTTACTGAGACAGAAAACCAATACACATGAGAATATTTAGAAACACAAATGGGAAATGGGGGAACAAATTATCGATCTGAAGTAATATTGTTCAAGATATAGAAGAGGAAAACGAATAAATATATACTAGCTCTGTTATAATCCATTTTCAGCTTTATCATCCTGCGTAACTAGAAAATCAGAAGTCCAGTTACAGATGATGCATAAAACCTAAATAATAACATCAAAATATTAAAGAAAGTTAGTGAATGCCTGCGACAAAGTAGGGTTTACTGGTCCAAATTACGTTGTTTAGTACTTCCACTGACTTATATATCATGACGGTTATTTACCGAAGAGGTTCTCTTGCTGGAGTGTATAATACAATTAGTGTGACAAACAGGCTAATAGTAATAACCTGATTATTACGAAATGAATCATTAATTTGGCTTTCCAACAACATTGATCAATCAATCATTCATAACGGAGCTATAGTCATTTCCTCCCTATCATCGTTATCTTCAGTCTTAATATCTTATCTAATTATTTAGACAATTTTGTTAAGTTAATGTGTATAATTTCTTTATCCAGATGATAAGCTCTAAACCAAATAGAAATTCCTATACGGTGTTCACGAAACAGGTTCTGTACAAAATAATTTCAATGATACATGAATTCACCCTGGGAACCGATGTCAAGTTGGTGAAGCCAACATAAAATCTGGAAGAAATCCCAATTAATCCAAATAATCACATCACAATCAGACGAAATTAACAATATGGACAGAATGGGAGTCGAGTCAAAAACCGTGTTTACGAGTAAAAAAACCAAACAGAGAAAACGATTCGGAAAACGGAATAAATATAAAGAACAAAACTGAATGTATAGATGGACTATTATTGGATACAGAGATCACTTTCTTATATTAACCACGCCTGAACCAATCACTATGATGACTGAAAGAAATGATTTACATTTATATAATAGGTCTTTGAAAGGGTCATAAACTATAACGATTTTACAAAGTGTATACGAAGGCCATCTTATTTTTAGTGTAAAACATCAGAGCTGTAGTTAAACTATTGTTGTTGAGTTCTCTGAGCTAGATGGTTTAATGGCGCAATTTTAATTATCTTTATTAACATTCATTCAGTCAGTCAGCTAAAACGTAGGACAAGGCATATATATCCATCACTCCAATTTACCATACCTAATTAGCACAAAAACATGAACACCGAATTCATAGAAGTAGTTAATTCAGTGGTGATAATATACCAGGGAAAGATTACATATAAGGATATAGTACAGGAAGAAAGGATTAGTTCGTAGAAAAAAGGATATGAAGCGATTTCAAACTCTTAGTTTAGGGGTAGACAAAGAATGTATACACCGACGCCATTTCGATCATTCCTGAGACATGTCACCAACAGTCCCCAACAATTAGTTACGATAGTCATGCGGGCCCCAATCAACCAGTCTGTAACTACCAACATGGCTCAGACGAGAATTTAGTGACGCCAAGCACTGATGCAACTTTTCGTTTTGTCAGCCCCTAACTTTCTTCCAACCATCTCCAACACTAGTCAGCATTGTGCGTCGTGATAATCAGTGTTCAAACATACGTAACAGGTGGTCCAATAATCTCAGTCGATGAACATTTACAACGTCATTAACTGATTTACCATCACTTCCTAATATCGTACGTCTAACTTCACTATTACTTATCCGGTGATCCCAGCAGATGCGAGCAATATTTCTAAGACATCTGTGGTCAAATACTAGTAGCTTACGAATACTTCCCAACAGCACTCAAAGCTACTGTATTCATTTCTGAACATTATCAGCAGTTAATTCATTCAGAACTAAGCTAAAAGATAGAATCATAGTTGAGAAGTTTTCAATAGTATATTCTAGGAAACAATTTATACACAGATTTTATATACTAAGAATATTCAGTTTCCAGACATATGAGTCATCAACAATTTGGTACTTATCTATGACAGAGATTGTATTATAGAATATTTAGGAATATATCTATTCTATACTAACGAGTAAATGTTATTAGTAGTAGGAGTATATGTTTTTCTGTTCCCATTAAAGATATATCTTCATTACAGGTTAATGAATTTAATCTATAATATTTGTATATTTTAAGAACATAAATCAATAGAAAATACGCTAAGGTAAAAGATGACAATAGAGGAATTAGTTCTAGTTTTGCTGAAAAGAAAGTACCTGTTCGTTGCTGCAAAGCTTTCCTGCACTGTAGCTAATTTCAGTACATGATATAAACCTAATCCTAACTTCTTATCTTAACTCCTGACTTTAATTTCCAACACAAATTCTGATGTCATATGGTTAATATCAAAATTGTTCCATGTTGTCCCTTATGCTACAGTTTCATTGAAATTTTAAATTAACTCAGATTAACAATCCTCATCATCGACGGACAAGGAGGTTCAGATGCAAACGTAAAGGCGAGAATAGGGACTGTAAGGAGCTGGAAAGGATTGCCCAGGACAGGGTTGGATGGAGAATGTTGGTGAGCAGCCTATGCTCCTTCACGAGGAGTAACAGACGTAAGTAATAAGCCTGTTGGCTTGTTAAACAACCAAAAGTGTATAATTTCATATTTAGATGCTTTTGTTACATAATAAACCTAAAATAAAGTCTATGGGCTATTTCATTAAAAATAATACATATCAAACAATAAACTTACTCGCTATACTTTGGCACTGAAAATTTATCCACACTTATAGTTGATCCTTTAATAAATGAATAAACTAAACCATTTTGAAAAACTGCATATAATTTTTGTTCACCACCAAGTTCATGTAATAAATGCATATGTTTTATTTCATCCCATCTATTCACAATAAAATCGGCTAATCTTGTTCGAATTCTCATAAGAATAGTTTTAGGTTCATCTATTTTATTATTATGATCAAAACGTAGAACTATATTAGATAATCCTTCTTCTAATGGCTAAAAAAAGAAAATCAGTCATTATTATGGTTTCTAATTGACATACTTTCATTTTCGTATATTCTTTTGACCAATTAGGGAAAACGGATTTCAATATTTTCCATATATTTTCTTGATCATTACCATCTAATACACGTATATCCAATATTGGGATACTATCTGGTACGAGAGGAATGACTGTCATCCTGTATTTATCCACGCAATAACAAATGGCCAATATACATAAATCTATATGGAAAGATTTAAATATTTAAATCGTTTGTCATACGATTTGAAGGTCAGATAATATGATTGGTTGTAAATGAAACCAATACTCGCTCTCTGATTGGATGAGAATGATATGAGCTTCACAATATATAAATTTATTTTCACGTGACCATGGCTAAAGCTTCCATATCATTGGTCAATTTGTTATGCTTTTTTTAATTTTTTTTTATTTTTACAGCGGATCGTATCATGTCTACCAAGTAACGATTGAAATTTATCGTGTCATCTAAGAGACTTAAATTTTTGAATGAACCAATCAGATTTACAATTAAAGGTCTTGGATTTTTGGCGCGAAATTCTTTATCCATTTAATTAAATAGGGTCTTGACATTTTAACTGAGATCAGTTCGTGATGAAAATCCTAAATCTAATCCTTATCATTCACATAAGTTTAAAACCCTTATTTAACCCTAATCAGTAGGTGGACATTGCTCACCATTGAAAGTTAATACGGACTTGAGTCACTTAAAAGTTTGTCCAGAAAACTTTTCTCTTAATTTAATAGATAGAAAAATAAGTTTAATGTAAATTCTTTTTAGGGGATCACACCTCAAGACTTCGACCTGAAGGTCTGATTCACAAAATAGTGGAGCAACGTCAGGAGATGCAGTCTCATGGTAGTCGGTGACTAACAATAGGTTCATACGTTATTTGTTCCCTCAGGATACTGGAGTCCATGTGGACCATTGGTTTGAACTCAGGATTTTCCGACTGCCCTAGGTGGATTCTCTGTGTCAACCAACCCGGTTAAAGCACCGGTCATTCGCTTTTTCTTCCTCCCAATTTCGTAAACAGCACTCGTGGTGCGTAAAGGCAGTGAGTAGAACTTCTCTGGTAGTGGTTGTATGCACGTGGCTGTATGAGAGCATTTGGAGAGGGAGAGTTCACTCTCCCCACCATCGACCGTACCAGGGCATTTGGGGACAATCCATATAGATGATACAATGAAAATAATTATTTATCATAAATAGTGAATATACCCAATTTGCACTAGATGAGTTAACCTATCGGGACTTACTGTAGTGAATGAGAAAACAAGCTACGACAATTGAATGTATTTAAATACAAAATTATAGAACATCTTAGTAAAATTTGAAAACCATACAGTAAATATTTCATTTGTAAAATGTCAATCAATCATTTCAGACTTCACTGTTCTTTCATTTCTACACTAATCATTCTTTGTTCTCATTCGCTTTTCCTTGTTCTTCTTACTTTCCTACCACCAGGTATTTCACTTTCGACTGTTGATACATACTACTTATATCTGTCGACATCAGTAACACACACCACAATTGTACTATTTCTTTTTCCTTCAAGTTATTTATAGAACGTTAATTTCATATGAGATTCATTGTTTTATAATTAATCGATTAGATGTTGCTGGGATTCTCTGGTTTGTTGCTGAGATCTAATAATAAAATTGGACACTTTATCTAGTAAACTGAGAAGCGTAGCAGTAATCTCAGGATGGAAATTCTGCTCAAGCTATTGCTCGGTGAATTATGCATCTTATCATTCCCATCTTGGAATTGAACAAAAAAGAGCTCTTTCTATTGTAGATAATACTATACATCACATAATAGTTGGCTTTAAGGTATATCGCTCAGGAGATGCAATGGTTCTCTAATGGTTCTATAGGTACCAACGGCTGGCAAACATATAGCTGATTAATGTCCATGTTTAACTCACCAGGTCAGTATCCCAATTCGTGCGAAAAGTTACTAGTCGTTAGGAAAAAAATCAATAGGGCATAATTGGAAAAAACGGTCACTGTTAAATGTTCGTTGAAATAGATTGTCAAAACGTTTTTCTATTTGACTCGGTTCACCTACTTCGGTGGTGATGTAGTCTGAAACGATTGTTATGTTTTAATATGTCACTTTAGTAAATTTTTCTGTAACTAATCTTTTATATTAATCGTAATTATTGAAAGTTAAGATAGAGACTATAAGCCATGTCATGTGTCAGTTGTGTTCTCCCCAATTTCTTAACATCCCATTCATTCTAAAAAGTCACTATTATTTATCAACTGAAATTTCGTTTATATGTATCTATTCTACTTTCTTAATGAATGTTCTACCTATAAGAGCTACTACTGAGTCTTTAGAAATCTGAAGGATAATGAAATAATCAAAATACACTTTTCAAATCATCAATGAAAGTGACCAGGCAAAGAGGAATAATGGCTAGAAGTGAAATTCAGGATGCGTGTTTCGTTTTTATTTGGGACTCGTCAGCTGGATGTATCTACATCTCAGAGTTGATGTTTACTCCAAGACTCGAATCAAGTACCGCTTACTTCAAACACCATCGGATTATCCACTTAGTTACTGAGTTCTGATAGTCACTTGTCTGTACAATGAGGTGAAATTTTAAATTCACTTGATATTGTTTACTTGAATCTTCTTATTGATGTTTAGGACTGCAATTGATCAGTCTTTTATTGGCTTTTTATTCACTATTCATAACTATCACTCAATCAAATGTCTGGTCGTAGACATTTCTAACTTTAATCATGGTTATCCATGAAGTCTTTGTAGGTTACTTACTTATGCCTGTTACCCACATTGGAACATAGACCTCCGACCAGCATTCTCCAACCCATTTTGTCCTGGACCTTCCTTCCTAGTTCTCTCCACTTGTTGTGCATTCTTCTTATGTCTATCTCCGTTTCGCAGTGTAATGTATGCTTTGATCTTCCGCTTCTCCCTTGACCTTGAGGATTCTATGTGATGAGGGATTGTCTTGTGACTCAGTTGGGTGCTTTTCTCAATGTATGTCCTATCCACTTCCAGCGCTTTTTCATGACTTCTTCCATCGCTAGGATATGGTTTGTTCTCTTCCTACAGAAGACTGAAATCGTTGTAAGTATTACTTATAAATATAGAAATTGAAAGTTAAATTCCTTTTCTAAATTAGATCTATTCAATTCATCCTTATCGTACCATATTCAATGATGATGATGATTAACCTTTAAATAGATTGTATGGTATTCTCTTTTTGGTATTAAAAGTCTCCATGATATAAGTTGCAAGATAGAAAAATTGTTATCTTTAATGAATGAATTAATTAATTTCATAGAATCATATTAAGTAGGTTTAAATGAACTGATTGAATACAGTAATCACTACAGTTCAATTGTGTTATGTCCTTTTGCTCCGGTAATTTATCATACGACTAGGATTGTCAATAGAATACTAACTTATATCATTATATTAATGATAAATAAACTAGTACAAGAGACCTAGAGTCAACTTCAAGTTGTTATTAGTTGTATGAGATAGTAACTTCTTGTCTAATCCAGTAGGTTCAGTCTATAACATCAATGTTAGACCTCGCTATATGAATCATATATTTCAAACATACTTGGTTCATATAAAAGCAAATGAGACCGCATCATTCATCTCTGGTGGTTGTTTTTGAGTGTTCTCAAGGGCTATTGTCATTGGGACATTATAAGGTAGGTCGCCATTGTTAACATTAACGAGTTTGACTGTTGTGTAGGCGGAATAGATCGACGTTGGCTTATTCATGCTGTGCATAGTTGATTCACGCGATCACTGATCGGAATAACTATATATGTGATATGAATATGTATATAAATGGTGCGAATGGTCCACTAGGGTGTTTGGTAACTATGTGGTTGCGCCGAGGGATTGAGCTGTACTATTCGGATTGTAGCGTTAAAGCCTATATGGTGTCTGGTTCTGTTGTGAAGCGGGATCGGGCTGTATTGCTCGGGGTTATAAGGTTTAAGCCTAGATGGTGTCTGGTTCTCCTGGGATCGGGATTGAGCCGTACTATTTGGGCTACAGATTTTGAGCCTGGCGGTGTCTGGCTCGCCTGTTAAATGGGATTGAGCTGTACTGTTTAGGTTGTCACGTGAAAGTCTGGATGGTGTCTGGTTCTCTCGAAAACCAATGTGAAATTCTCCTAGCCCACAAGGGTATATTATATGGTTTGTATACAAGCAAATGAAACCGCATCAAATCATAATATGCAAATTGATAATTATACGAGACCAGGCCAAAAAGCGACTGTGACTGTGACAAACTGTAATCAATTGACTGGGCATAACTCAGGAATAGTAAGTCATAGATTAATAGCCGATAGGTTTAATGGAAGCTTATAATAAAAGGAATATGAATATATATATGACATAGCTACTGAATGGTTATCTAATAAGAATATATGAGATAATAGTCTATAAATAGATCCTAGTAGTTACCATTAATTGATTCTTTGTTAGAATATGACAGATTTCTTTTAAAGTAAACAAATAACTCAATGAAATGATTTCATTTGCTGAGAAACATTGAGGTCAGGAAGTAATTGATATTTAACTATCATCATTATTTTTTTTGCTGAGCTGCATCACAATATAATGTTCAGCTTGGAAATGGATAAGAAGTATATATTCAATACATTTTTCTGGATTATACTTCTGCTTTTGATTCTATCTTAAGACAACTTTTACTTAACAAGTTAATCAGCGTCAACACTGACAGTTCGATAACGAATTGACTATGTTCCTACCTCTCTGAAAGTGGACAGTACACTGTGTTTGGATGGAAGCATTCAACGTCTCTACTGTGCCAGGAAGGTGAGCGACAAGGAGATGTTCTTTGTTCTCTCCTTTTTTCTCTTTTTCTACTGTATGATCTGCCGTCTTCCACAGAAAACACTTTTGTGAAATAGGTGGGTGATCTTGCTGTATGTATGCCAATTCCTACCTTTTTACATCCCATTGAAATGAGTAAGTCTTTTTCTCGTATTGAATGGTGATCTTTGTTAATGTCATGCTGTTGACTTTAGAATGAGTCATGACCAGCACCATGTTGGGATTCTATAATGCTCGTACCATTGGAGACTCTTTGATAAACACAGTGTCCAACGTCAATTATCTTGGTGTTCCCTTTTCCTCTGATCACTCTTGGTCTTCTCATGTTT